CTATTGATTTAATTTTTTTTTCTGCTTGCAATCCAGGTTCTGGTTGGATTGAGAAAGAAAAGTTTTATGCTCAGGAAATTTATATTGCCAAACCTTAATTTCTGATAGAATGACCCCATTATTTTTAAAATTAAGGCATTTATTAGTCTAAGAGGAATACTCTCATAGAATAGAGAGCCCCTTCCACTTACAATGTAAAATATCTGTTTGTTGTCATCAGCTGTGCTAGGTGTGTATCTATTCAATGCATTCTAATTCAAAGAAAGGTCAAAGGTACTGACTTTAACTGAGCCTTGTGTTACAAAGTCAGTAGCATTAGTTTGAGCCTCATGCATTAGAGAACAGTTTAATTGTCTCCAACCTTTTGGAAGAGCAAAAGAAAAACTGACAGTCAACACACTTGTGTCTGTTTTAGTGTGTGTCACAGAGAGGTTATAGACTGAAGGGATTATCCACAGGCTGTTGGTTTGATAATAACTAAGGAGTCAAAGAATATAAAAGAAGAAAAGTCTTTATTATATACACAGGCAGTTGGGAGAAATAGAACATGCTTAAACTTTTTTTCAAAAATAAATAGGCCTTTTTAAAAAGAGGAATTTGAAAACAAAAGGCTTTACACTTTTAATATCTGAGCAAAAAATTCAGTGTAAACTAAAGTCCCAAATCATTACTGTTAATAAAAGAAATCTGAAAATTCTTTCACTTTTGTTGAGTAACTCCATGCCATATTTTACTTCTTAGCAGTAGGAAAAAATATATTTCAGAAAAAAACAGTCATCTGTCTGTTAGTGCATACTTATAGATAGACATGCAGGTCTAGTGTGATAAATTGTGATACAATCTTAGGGTAATAAATAAGGTATTTTTCAGTGTCTTGAAAATTCATTATTTAAGAAAGACACAAAAAACCCATTATAAATTCTGGCACTTAAGCAAGCAAAGGAGAGCTGAGAGAAGATTTCTGATTCTGCTGTCCAAATGGGAAAGAATCAGAACAGATTATTGCTCTTATAAATCTCCTGTTAGTGAAAAATATTGTTATGCTTATTACTCACAAATCTAATTGCAAAACATGTCTGCAATTTCTAAAAAGGAAGAGCTTTATTACTTTAGTACTATGAAACTCACTTTATAAAAGTTCATGCAAAGTGGAGAAGAAATGTCTTTTGTCACTTGGTCATCACTGTTTCTTAGGACAGGTGGTATTCTTCTTTCAATCTCCCAGACTCCTTCAATTTTCTGATCTTTTGGTAAAACAAGGTGCATTTCCAATTGATAATCCTCATATATCATTTTAAAAATGGACTTTGTGGAAATGTTAAAATACTGAGGCATTCTTGAAGAAGCAACCCAAAACCATATCTCAGTTTGTTCTACCAAATTTTATTTTGTTTTAATTGAGTCATAAACCCTGATGTTCTTGTCAGGGGTGACCTGATATAAACTGCAGTTTTTTGGAGTGGATTTAATTTGTTGTCCATGCTGGCTTCAGTTTATACTTCATAATTTTTGATTTCCAAAACAATTTCAGAGATTTTTTGCAGGGTGGCACATTCATTTAACCTCCAATACATTTCTATTTCAAAAAGAAATAAATAGTCAGTGTCTTTAGTCTTCGGTTTAAAATAGGATTAACTCAAAGGTGATAATTCAAGACTTTTCTTAATACTTTCTCTTAACTTTTTCAGAAAGACAGGGTTTTTTTCCACTGTTAGGACTGCTGACAAGTGATAAACTGTAGAATACTTCAGAGATCACCACGGGATGTGGACCACATACAGCTGGGCAAGTGCAGGGAGCAGACATGGCAAGGGCAGCCAGGGCTCTGTTGAAGGGCTCGTTCTTGCCTGGAACAAAGTGAGCAGTGCCAGTCACGCAGAGCAGCCATGCAGGGAAGACAGAGCTGTCTCAGCCAGCAGAGTGTATTCTCTGCAGGAAGCCACATCCAACTCATGTTCCTTGAAAAGCCTCATCTTCCTGGAGTTTCATTTCAAATGTCAGGCTTGGAAGGCTCCCAGAAAAATCTTCTTTTCCTTGCCATCCCTACCTCATGATCAGCAAAATCTGTGATTCAATCTATTGTATCATGAAATATGTTAGTATATATGCCCAGAAATTAATTAGAGGATTTTTTGTATAAACTGCAGCTGTTATTGCTGATGGGTATTTGGACTAATGCCTCTGATATTAGAAAAAGCTTTGATTTCAATTACTCTCCTCCCTTTTTATATGTAATGAAGTAATAAGTTCATTGCAGTGCTTCACTTCTCCATTTTTTCTGCAGTACACCAAAACAAAGAGGCTTTTCTGACTAAATTGAGGCTTTATTCAATTAAACTAATTGTAATTTATCCTCACAGAAGGGGAGAGAGTAATTTACTAGAAAAAAAACAAAAACAAAACAGTACAAATCAGCTTTTAAAAAAGTTCAGCAAATAATTGCTTTGAAATTCTGATGGGTCACCATCCTAGGTGACTGTTTGTAGAATATCCAGTTTTGCTTGTACTATATGTCTTCTCTCAAGGCCTAATTAAGAAAGGTCTGATTTGAAACACATTTGAATTAAAGCATCTGAGTAACCATTAGTGTTTAATACGGAGTAAATGTAACAGCTTGAACTGAGACTGTGGAGTTAGAGGCTCTGCTTTCAGAGTTTCCAAGGTACTCCTGGAGAGGGGGCATGCCCAATAGTTTGCACAGTTGGCTTGAATTGCCATGGATGTTCTAGAATCTCAAGGAGTGTTATGAACACTAGTGAGAACATTCCACAATTTTCTACTAATGGATAGCATTATTCCTACTTTATCTATAGGAAAACTGAACCATGAAAATGTTAAATGAGTTGCACAACACCATACAAAACAGAGTAAGAAGTAAAATGCTGTTGTTCTAAAACACCAGCCTCATTGTCCAGATGGCATTGATTAGTGTTGCTATCCTGAAAGATAGCCACCTGAGAAGATTTCATTTTATTATACTTAGATCAGTTACTAACCCTCAGAGATCCATTGTGAACCTTCACAAAGTAGGACAGCACTTAATGAGGAGACTATCACAGAATCAAGATACTTCTCTAGGCTGCATTTATCCCTGTTGTAAGAGGTTCTACCATGTGAAGTGTGGTTTCTGAATTGATATGGAGTCCAGCTGCTTTTAGTACAAAGAGCCATGCAAAATTCCTGAATTTATTCAATGTTGATACTCTGAAATGGGCACAGTATTGCCTTGCTCCCCTTACCTCAAGGTAATTCATCCTGTAATTTCTTAGTCCTTTATGCTGCTTGATGCCAATCCTCTGTCAATCTCCAGAACTAGCTCTTGCCATCTTCAACTTAGATCAGATTCTTTCCTCCTGCCCTTTGTATTCACATTCCCAGCTACTGATCTCTTTGAATTCACATAGGAGGAACTTTCTCCTTTGAACTTAAGTGTCCTGTCTTAGAGAATTCCTGCAAGTTTTATGTGCTAACCAGGTAGAGAAGAGATCCTAGTGGCGCTTCTACTGAGGGAAAGTTCAGTGTTCACTGGAGAATTGATTAGTGTTGCTATCCTGAAAGATAGCCACCTGCTTCATTTTCTTAATGGCCTCCAGTAGCGACTGGCGAGTGTGTATTGTTTTAATCCTTTGTCTATAACATTTGTATCCCTGTGTTTTGTTCATGGCTTTCTCTGTATGCTTTGAATGGAAAAGTTTCTTGAGCTGATAATCCTAGTGAAGCAGATGCTCTGACATGCCAAATGCTTTTACAAACAAGCAGGGGTAGTCAAATTTTGCCAAATAGGAATGTTATTGATTCTTCAGCTGGAGATTAACCTCTTGTTTGAGTTTAAATATGATCTACTTTGAGTTTAAATATGATCTGAGAACTGAAGTCTCAAGAGAGGATTTTCAATCTGCTTTCTGGGTAGTTTAGGTAAAGTAGTGATATCTATGATTTTTTTCTGTTGATTTTTGGATCTATTTTAGTGCATTTATCTGTCCACTGGAGAAGCAAATTATTGGCAGTGGATGAGATTTCACAGCATGGAACAGTGAAACCCTATATATCTCTCAATAGATACTAACCACCTTTCTATGTGAACAGCAAAACCATTAATGCTTGTAACATCTCTTTTTCAAGGCCAAAGTGTGCAGAGGGGTTGGCAGCCTGCCTGCTGGAACCTTTTGATCCACAGTGCACTTCCTGGCAAACCTTAGTAGATGTCCTATCAGCTGGTCTAGGGCAAGGCTTTGCTGTCCTGAGAATGTGATCACAATGTGAGTCACCTGAGGATCAAAAATAAGAAAAAAAAAAGGAGCAGGGAAAGTAGGAGGACAAACTGGTCAGAACTTCCTGTATGGGGAGTTTGTCAGTGTTGGCCCAACTTCAGCAGCAACAGCAGGACCAGAGCAAGCTTTGGAAGTCCTGAGAGGCTGGCAAGGATTTGGTGGTAACAGGTCCTGACTCTGTAATACAATGAGCAGAAAAACACACATCACTGTGTGTTTGGTGGGAAGAGAAGATAAAAGCATGTGGCCTCTGGTGGTGTCACTTACTGATCAGATGGGCCAGGTACAAATATTTCTTGGCTGAAATCTGCATGCAGGTTTGACTTTGCTTTGCTTCTGATCTGTAATTTTGATGCTGAGTTTATCTAATTGCATAAAAGAGCCTTGATCATGTCTTTCAATCACATTTATGATGAGAACTGTAAACACTCAGGGTAGGAAAGATCCTCAAGAATTCACATAGTGTGAATATAAAATAAGAGATAGCAGGCAGGGAAGCACTTACTACTGCTCCTTGTCAGCAGTGTGCTTGGCATACCAGTGTCTTAAGGAAGATCTAGCAAGTGGACGCTGAACATGCAACATTGAGTCTGATAACACAGAAAGACAAATGTGTGAAGATTCTTGTTCCCATGGAGTTATTAAAGGAGCAAGATCTACAAGTAATGAAGAGTGCTTGCAGGGAGACAAATTGTTCATGCGCTGTTTTATTTCTCTTGGTCTTTTCAGGTGTTCCAGGACCTTGGCACTTCTGTGTTGTCCGGTGCTTTTAGAGGATACAACATCTGCCTCTTGGCATATGGACAGACAGGTTCAGGAAAAACTTACACAATGATGGGAACACCTGTGAGTTACACCATGCATTTTAAACTTGGGGTTGAGGGCAGGATGTCTAGCAGAAACCTTGCTTCATTTTAAACAGTGGTTGTGGTGCTTGATGAGCAGAATGCTTGCACATGTTTTATCCGGTTTTAAACTTGTAAAATGTGAGCCTTTGCATTTAGGTAAAAAACAGAGTATCAGGTAAAAATATTAGAAAATGTGGTGTAGTCTAAATTTTTATTACTTGATAATCTTCTTACTACATATGAATCTTGTCGTAGAGGTAGAGGACAAAAAAAATCATCTCAATACTCAGGAATAGTTCTGGATTTTAGAAACTGTAACCCGAGATAATACAAAGTATTCATTTCCATGTGATATTTTGGCAAATTGGCCTATGCTGAGATTAAATTGCTTTCACAAATAAAATTAGATACAATTCACGGTAATGGTTTTGTAACAGGCTTAATTATTGCTCGTAATATTGACCTGTGGAAAGTAATACTTCACTTCCAGTTTTGACACTCATTTGAATGGAATTTACAGAAGCTGTTACATTCTGAGTTTGTCTACCAGGCACCACCTGAAGTGCATTTTAATCTTGCTACTCAGATTGATGGAGTCAGCTGATGATTTCCTGTGTTTGCCACAACAGAAGGCAATTTGATTTTTATTAATGAATATTCTTAGCTGTTGGTCAAACATACTGCTAAAAAGAAAAATAATTAATAGCTTGCATAAGTGGACCAGTATTTTCTACATCCATGGGATTCAATTCTAACATAGTTTGTTCTTTTGATGAGAGTTTGGATTTTTAAAATTTTGTTTTCTCAATAGACATCAGCAATAGGATTTAGTTACATTATTACCAGATTTTTTCAAGGAAATTTCTGGATCTTGTGTTTCTAAGAGATTTCTTGCTTTAAAACTAATTTCTTTCTGCAATGCAATACTGCTTTGGGCTGATCTTTAATGACATGTATTCACTGTGAAACAATGTTCCAGTGTTTGGTATAAACAGAACTTTTGTCCATAGTGGTCCGCTTGGTGAACCTGGACTTTCTTCTTTCAAAGAACACAGTTTCAAATGTGCCTTCTTTCAAGGCTTTCAAAAAAGCCTTTCATGCCATTCAGCAAGCAGAATCCATCTAAGCCCTGGTGTCTTTCCCAGGGTGTATTGGCACTGCTCAAGTGGGAGCAATCATATCATATCATAAGGAGAGTTCATCACACAAAACCGCACTGTTACCTCAGTGCTGTGTAGACTGGGCAAAATTTACATTGCCTAGTCTGGGTGTTGTCAGCAGCTCCATGTCCTGTTCCCTCTGAGACACAAAATTTATAAATCTAGAATATAAAGATGTTCTAAGGCTCCTCAGTGATGCCATGGCATGAAGAAATAAAACTAGGAGAAGGAAAACCCAAAAATATTAATGAGCAATCAAGCTAGCTTCAGTGTTGGCCTGGCTTCATCTCGTGTGCAGCACCTCTGACATAGACATGTCCAATATCATTACATCAAACAGCTTTTGGATTTAACCCAAGCCCCTAAACTTCTCATCAGTGCTGTGTACATTGCTCTAAAATTACTTTTGGTATAATTAGTGATGCTGTTCTGAACTACATTGCATGGCTGTTTGTGTTGTAATCCACCATAGTCATTACTGCACTATGATTCTGTCCTTTTCTTAAAACTTGGCTTTTGTATAAAAACAGATTTTGCATGAGTGTTAGGAAATATATTATTTAAATTTTTTTCTGTTTATTATTTGAAGGCATCCATTGGGCTGACACCTCGTATATGTGAGGTATTTTTTTTTTCTTCATTTGAATTTGTTTAAGCAGTAAGATTTTCTTAATGTATTTTAAATTGACATAAACTTCTCATTTGTGAAGGGCCTCTTTTCTAGGAAGGATGATTACTCAGACCAGATGGCATCATGCAGGGTAAAGGTCAGGTAAGTGTGTTACTCTTTTGGACAACAATATGAAGGCTTTTAACAGCATACTCCTGTGACTGAACAAAGTAAAGACTAGTTTATTTTGTTTCTGTTTTCTTAGATTATAGTAGTTTTGGAATGAGGGGGAAAACACAGAGGAATGATGAGGAAGTATTGGGTTTAGTTTTCCATCTAAGTATAGTTCTTTGGATGATGCTGTCTTTTCACTTTTGTATAAACAGCTGAAATAGGAATACAGTGAAAATTTACTTGCTCTGTTTAACTCCTAAATTGAGCCATAATCCTACATTCTGGTCTTATTCATCATTCCCTTGGACCTTATAAAGCATTGTGTTTGGAAATCTGGGGATTTGAGCCCACTAGTGCAAAAAATCTATCTAGGAGTCAGTTACATGGTCTAAATATACAGTTACTCCTTTTGTTTTGTTTTTAGCTGAGTGAATTTAGCTTTCCTTTTTCTTTTCAGTTTTCTTGAAATCTATAATGAGCGTGTCCGAGACTTGTTAAAGCAGTCAGACCAAAAGAAGCCTTACACCCTTCGAGTTCGAGAGCACCCTGAAACAGGACCGTATGTCCAAGGTGAGAGTGGCCTGCTCAGTCAGCAGCACAACTGCAGGTGGACGTGTCCCAGGCGTGTTTGTGTCTTTGCATGCATTCCTGCAGTGGTCAGAATTGCCTCTGCCCTTCAAGGGTTACTTTTCTCAAATGCTTTTCTTGTATGATCACTGAAAGCTTTGCCTCTGTTATCCTAACGGCTGGATATCCTGCACTGCCTGCCTTTCCAGACGTATTATTTTTCTTCCTTTTATTTTAAAGAAGTATTAACTTAATCAAGAAGTCTACCAACATTAGCTCTAAATGTGTTCTTCAGACCAGCCTAAGGTCCCTTCAGACCTGTTTCATACCTTGGCAGCAGAATATACATTAAAAAAAGAAAAAAAAACAGTAGATAAATTTAACTGTTTGATGTTGCAGGGCAGGCCGTAAGAAGCAATAAAAATCTCACCAAAGTGAAAACCTAATAAGCTTGATTTTCAATTGTCAGCTTTTTCAGTTGTCTTTCTTACTTTAGTTCTTGCCTTCTCTCTCTTTTTTTTTTTTCTACTTCCATTTTATTTTCAGTTTTGATTGGTGCTTTTATCTCAAGGTCTCATACAGCTTTAAATTGCAGTTTGGCCTTTGGTATTTAATGAATTGATTCGATCCTGATATAAAGTTTGCCAGCTACATTTCCGTGTATCTGACCAACAGCTGACAAAAATCACATCTCAAAACCAGTGCAAAATCATACAAACAAGATTTACAGTGGACATCAGAAGGAAGAGTGTTTTCCAAGCTGGGGGTTTGTTTGGAAAGTAGATGCATACATTTCCTTTTCTTCATGCCTTATATCCAGTGGGTGGAATTCCAGAGTAGCCTCTGGTATCACTGCCTCTGCAACTGCTTGGCTTGCCATCAGGTGAGCAGTAATACCTAGGGTAGTACACAAAATGCATATCACATAGGATGTTATGGATCCCGTCACATCAGAGCAAATACTGATTGGTCCTGGCTTCTAAATAGAGTCCTTGTCTCTGTTTAGTGGATTTCTCTTGCTCTCCCTGACTGATTTTTCTCCCTGATTTTCTTTATTGCGGCATTACTCATCATATGGTTATCCTTCCTTCAGAGATGGAGGGAAGATGTGACAATAGATAGAGTGACTTGACTGTGTGATTGGATGGAGCCTGATTGAATGGAGCCCAGCTCTGATTCCTTGCACACCTGCCCTATTGGTCATAGTGCATCTAACAGGCCATGGTTATTACCAATTCCTGCTCTCAAAATTTTAAATCAGCACTTGCAAAGTGTTGAACTTGCCTGGTCCTGTACACAAGGGTCTATCAGACATTCTGGTTGCTTCAGCTGTGCTTTCCCAGCACATCAGCCTCCTGTTTTAAGGAGACTTGGAAAATAATAGATCAATTGATGGTCTCATTAGTATGGCAGACATAATTCTTTGAAAAGTAAATTCATAGACATTTGGCTTTTATTGAGAGCTTTCCAAGATTCTCTTTCTACCTGCTTGTAATTGAAGAACTTCATTGTTGATGGAGTCCAAAGACTAAGTATTTTCTTTTAGCAGCTGCTCATTCAGCACGCAAGAAAGGATCTTTAAACTGCTTCCTTCCTTGGCAATTTCCATCTCTTTTCTCAGGCCTTGTATCTCCAGTGATTCCTTGGCTGCATATAATGGAGTTTCCCTGTTTTAAAAGAAAATAAAGTTATAACTTCTGCCAATGGGCTGGCTTGCCTTTTGTCACTGTTTTGTCTTCATCTGGAATCTTCCATGCCAATTTTGTCACTTCTTTTTAAATTCTATTGTGGCTTTTGTTGTTGTTGTGGGGTTCATTTGGGGGGTTGGTTGTTTGTTTCTATTGTGCTTTTTTTGTTTACCCATTTTGAATAAGGATTTTATTCTTGGATTCCAAATTTTTTTGACTGGAAAAATTTTATGCTAGAGTTCTGAAATATGCCAATAAAGTTCCCAGTTGATTAGATTTTGTAAACTAAGAGAAGAGATAATGGCAAAAAATAAGTCTAAATAGTATTTGCCGCTTTTGACTACAGTTGTAAATTTATTTTAGATTGTTCACTCTCTCTGTATATTATGACAGCCTCAAAAAATAATTGTATTTATGCATGAAAGAAAAAAAATATTTTCAATAGTAATTGTGATTCATGTTTTTTAAGAAAACTGATCACGTGCATGAAAAGTGAAATAATTTCTCTGCTGAAGACAGCATGGGGTGCAATTGGATGCTGTTTTGAGGCCATGTGAACTGAAGTAATTTCAGCCTGATGAGTCAGTGGCAACAGAGTTCTTTTATTTTAGATATGTACATACAATATATATTAATAAATTTGCCTATGCAGTTTATGCAATTCAGAACTGTGACAATTTGCTTTACTTGAGACAGCCCTAGTGTCTGTTGAGGAGAGGGACTAATAAAATGTGGTGGAACTACATTAATTAGCTCACATCAAAAATAAGCTGCAGTGACTTAAATGCAAGTTTGAAGTATAGGTAGCTTGATTTCAATAAGATCGAATTCAAGAAAGCCTCTTGAGAAGAGGTTCACAACACTGGTACAAAATTCCCTTCTCAACTGCACTAATGTATTGCTGCAATCAAAAATTGCTGAGCTCTGTAAGGAGGGTTTTCTATGTGCTGAAGTAGACTTTGATAATTTTATATGTGGTCTCTCTGTCCAGGATCAGAGTGCAAGAATAATATTTCAAATAGCTAGACAGCTAAGATGAAAATTATCAGCAAATTTACTAGGAGAACTTGATTTGTGCTTCACTTCCAGGCAATTTACTGTATGGGAGAAATTAAATTGGTGAACATCAACAAGGCTCAGAAATTTTCCATTGTTTTCCATACATCAACAAGTTAAGGACTAGCATCTGTGTTTGCATTGTACTTCTTGCAAGCAATCAGCAATTTTAAGGTTTGCTGACTCTTAGGAGGAACTCCTCAGTGTGCATTAGTTTTAGTTGTGTGTTTGCTGTCAATGACATCCAGAGTACAGTTAGCTGTGGATGAAGAGTACAGAGAGAGGAGAAAATCAGAAAACTTTTTCCCTTTAAGGACACTTAGATGCCCTGGGCAATGCATTTTCCGTTTTCAAGTCCAGTCAGAAAGTCCCAGCTCTGAGCATTAAGTATTTCAAATGTTTTCCAACCCATTGTTTTTTCACGTAAAGGCGGAGAGATTGTAGCCTTTAAAATGCTGAAAGTGTTTCAGTGCTTTGGATTGGAATCGTTTCAAACTTCTCCCTCACAGATGGTTGCACTGTTAAGGAATCGGCCCCTCTTAAATCAGGAAATGATGCAATCCATTTTGTTACTCTGAGACAGATTTCTGGGGGAGATCCTTTCTTACTCCAAGGCAGATTTCTAGACAGGAAAGTGGTTTTGATCTTTCTATGGGATTTGAAAATGACCTTTCTCTTTCTGGCAGCCAACAGAATACTTCATAATTTCTTTTCAAGCAGCATTTAAAATATTTCATTAACCTTATTAAAAAGCTAATTGTTTTAAACTCTCAGCACGATTCACAATTACAGTGCTTAGGGAAATGTAGACAGGTAAGAATTTCTTCCATGCCTCTTTTTTATAACAGTATTTTTATTCAGTTAAATAAGACTCTGAAAAGGGGTCTGGGAAAACAATGTATGATAGTTTCCATATTCTGAGCTTTGAAGATCCCAGTGCGGCTTTTTCTCAAATGGAAATAGGCCTTTTTCTCAAATGGAAAATGTGATGACTTCTGGAATTAATGTGTTGTAAAGAGACACTAGAGAGCAGAAGAAATACTTTTGTTTGAAAATCATCCTATAGTGTTTGTGTGTGCAATTGTTCATGCACGCACACTGCAGTTAGGGGTTTTTTTATAGGTGTGGGTGATCCAAAAATCTTTTTTTTCCCTTTATATGTATCAATTATTAAAGGACTAAAGTTAAATCTCTTCTTTGTCTTAGGTTTTATTTTCATTTAGAATAAAGCAAGCTGTTACCATGAAAGGATAGACACGAACAATATATCAAAAGTACCTATTTCAGTATGGTTGAATTTCATATTAATCTTGACTTATATTCCAACAGTAGATAAATTATTTGATCCAAATAAATCAATATTTTCTTCAATACTTTCCCTTCACACACACTTTTATGGTCTGTAGTAAAACAAATCTAAATCTGTGGAGGGGGAGGGAGTTGCCCTGGATTCCATCTGTGAGATAAAACATTCTGCACAAGGTAGAATGTTTTTCTAGCTGTGGTATGACACAGACTTGCTTCACAGCTCAGGTGTTTTTTGAGGAGTCACTGCAGTGCAAATGACAAATAATCCTTGGAGACACATTGGAAGCATATTAAGCTGTATTTCTGGTGAATCCAAGCCCGCTGGGGGTGGTTCCGTGGGTGCACTGGAATTCCCGTTCTGCCGGGAGCGCGGTGCTGCAGCCCGGCCGCCGGCTCGCCGTGCGGGGACCTTCCTCTTCCTCACAGCCTTGTCCCCGCTTAAAAATAGAATCAGATTTAAAAAACAAACATGTGAAAACTAACCAAAAACAAACAGAAAGGAGAAGACAAGAAAAGGCCAAATGATTCATGTCGTTATTCAGGGAGATCCTTCAAAATGCCCTCTGAGGGGAAAAGTGCATGAAGACCCCAAGTGCAAGCTAAAGCCTATTTAAGAAGTGGTGAATATTCACAGGGGTTGGTTCCTGGTTCAGTTACTTGTGTAAGCAGAGCCATCATCCTGAGCAATGGCCAAAATCTTTTTTACAGGATCTGTACCCAAACAGAAGCAGTGACATAGCTGAAAATTTATTATGGATTTATACTATTTCTTAAGTATCATTGTTGTGCAGATGGAAAAGTTCTGATCTGTGAAGGTATGAGGCATTTTCTTGTACTAATGTCACTGCATCAGAAAGATGAACTAGAATTTTTTACATAATTTTTTAAAAATTAAATAGTTGTGGTTTTTTGTAAAATTAACTCTAGTCCAGAGACTACTTGTATAACAGACTGCCATCTCAGCAGAACATTCTTATTCTCCTGATGTTGGGTAAATTGTTGGATGAACTGAATGAAACTTTCTGAGAAAGCTAAGAATTTAACTCTTCTTGAATCCTTGGCAGGTTTGACTCAGCATTTAGTTACAGACTACAAGCAAGTCGTAAAACTTCTAGAAGAAGGAATAGCTAAAAGGTATTTTTCATAACAAACCAGCTCTATCTGTATTTAACTCTTCTTTGACTGTATGTTTATTTCACCAATGTTTATTTTACTGACTGGGTTGGCAGTGCTTTGTGATGACAAGCTGTCACATTTGGTGGTCTGGTGATATGAGACACACATGAGACCTTACCTATCATCATATTGTCCAGAGCAAGAGCTACAAGCACTCATGAAGATCTTTCTTCAACACTGACCCTGTGCTGACTTACTCACAAAATTCCACCATCTGTCAGTGACAAAAAATGCGAGCCAAGAAAACATTTTGCTGTAAACAGACATCTGTTTTCCCCTTCACTTGCTCATGATACTTTAGACTGGATAGCTTTCAACTCCCTTTGTTGTATAATTCAGTGATTTAAAACTGCTGATAATATAATGCATACTTATTTATTTTCTAAAATTACTATGTTTACAATTATTTGGTTTTATTTCTATAAGTTCTTAGTCCAAATTGTGTGTTTGCTGCCAGTGAGCTGTGGGGTTTGGAACACTGGTGAAGCCAATGATTTTGCTCTCATTAATTAAGAAACTTTTTGACAAGAAATCTTGAATATCTTTACAGGTGCCATTGCAGTAATGGAAAATATTTATATTTGAAAGAATTGCCAAATCCTAATCACAGTTCCAAAATTAATATTAAGTCTTATCATAAGAGTAGTCAACATTTTAGAATAACAGTGATGCTGGGAAGTAAATAAAAACCAAGCTGCATTATCACAAAACTCCCATAGAATATACATCAGGATTAAGTTTTGCTGTTTCTGCTTGTAGCAATTAATAGATGCAGCTTTATGGTAAAAAAAGGGCTAAGTATAACAACATTCCAGGTGAATGCATGGGTTACATGTATTGTGAGTAATTGAGATGTGAATTAGCTCTGTAACTCCCTTGTGTATTGTTGGAGGTGAGGAGTACTAACACTTCCTCCCCCAAGTCTTGGACCACCATCTTTTTCTCTTTTACTTTATTAACTTTGGTGCTGTGCCCTTACATTCTCTGCCCACTGTAGGGCTGTTTTCTGTCTTCTGCCCTTTACCTAATTGTTTGTCCCCCTCCAGCATCTGGAGCCCAGTTCACGTTCCCCTGCTTTGGCTTGCTTATAATCACGTTGTGCTCAGCTGCCCGAAGCTTTTGGCAGTGGCCACTCAGGACTGTGGAGGAGGTGGAGGAAGCAGGGAAAAACCGGGAGGAGAGTCCTGGCTTTGCCCTGGTGCCCTGGGCACTCAGCAGCACACACACAGCTGCAATTCTCTGCTCTCTGGTGCAACTGCTCTCTGCTGGTCACAAAAGCATGGTACCACAGTCCTTTTCTGCCCTACTAAAGTTACCTGCTGTTGTGGAGGGCAGGCTTGGCAAAACTGATGACCAAGGCTGCACCTATAGCTGATACTCGTGGCAAGCTGATACTCAAAGGCAAGCCCTGGACAAAATGCTAATTTCTTTGGGTTTTTCTAATTAAAACAGCAATAAAGAAAGTAGAATTTCCAAAAGTTTGCTCTACAGAGGCAGTGAGAGAATTCTACTGCTCCTTCTGTGAGCAGTTCCTGCTTGCCAGAGTGCCCTGGGTCAGATCACAAGAGCCATCTGTCCATGTCGGAGTCACCAAGTGCCACACAGGGAATTACAGTACTCATTTAGCACTCACATGGGTGTATTGCTTAGTCTCATTGGGCTCCTCTGGCAGTGTAAAAGAGCTATACCAGAGTAAAGGAACCCCAGAAGTTGTCTAGGAAGATTTTTTAACCCTTTGGAAATGCGAAGGGATAAAAATGGAAACAAATGGAGAAGATGTGCTGGCTTGTGCAATCTGCGTTGGGGATGAGCTGTTTGATGCTGTTGCTGGCTGTACTTCTCTGCTGTGCTCCCTGCTTATGCCACACCTTCCACCTGTGTTGTGAGGCTGCTTTAAGATATCTCCTCAGAATGCTGCTGGTGGAAAAAAAAGCACCTCTAATTGATCCTCACTTTTCACCTTTCCATGTTCTCTGCCAAATGCTCAGGGATCAGATCCAAGAATGCAGCCTGCCGTATTCTCCAAGTTTCACATTTTTTCATTTATCTGCTGTATTTGTTGATTTTGATTTCCCCCAATACAGGGAAGTAACCCTTTGTAATCGAATGGTTTGTTCTTCTTTCTAGAATCACAGCAGCTACACATATTCACAATGCCAGCAGCAGATCCCATGCTATCTTCACCATCCACTACACTCAGGTTAGTTAAAAATAACCCAACTTCCTCACTTCCAAAAGCATTGCTCACTGTGTTGTGCATTGTTTACTTGTCACTATTTTGTGCTGCTTGTAGTAATGGTGGAAGCTGTTACTTATTTCCTTTGGATCACACTGCAGATGTGTTGAGTGTTTGTTGAAGCATTCTGTTCCTTTGTGCAAGCTTATAGTCAGAAGTGATGCCAAAACCTCACTTTTAAAAGAAATGTTTTCAGTTTCAATTGGCCCTTTGAAATGCAATAACCCCTCAGATGCTGTGAAAATTACATGTGAATATGTTTGAGGTTATGTTTTATCACACTTGTTTAGGATTCTTAATTGAAGTACAGCATTAGTTTATACCAAAATTTTGTATCTGTCCAGCTTTTTAGATGTGCTCATCTTTTGAGCATTTGGCATCCAGTACTCTCCCTCAGACAATGCAGCCTTTCTCTGGAGGAATTACATCCTGTCCTGGCAGGGAAGTCGTTCAGTGATCCAATAGACCTTTTCTATCTCACACTCTTAACATCCTGTAATCACAGAACATTTTGGGATATTTTTCCTTAGTTTCACAAAAGACCTTTGGAATACATTAGTGGAAAATAACTCTGCAAGGTCTACAAGAAAGCCTTTTACAGTCTCTAGGCAGTAAAGGTTTTTTGAGAGGAAATTGGCATGAGAGGGTAGTTTCTCTGTGGGGTGAGAAAGCTGTTGAGTTAGTGGTTTGAACACAGTCTGAGGGTTAAGGTCACAAACAAAGGCAGAGAGACAGTCATATGTACAACTCAGCTTTAAACAAAAGAGCACATCAATTTTATTTTCATTAATTAATTAAGGGGAATAATCTTCCTTATTGATTTTTTTTCAGGCTATATTGGAGAACAATCTTCCCTCTGAAATTGCAAGCAAGATCAACTTAGTGGATCTTGCAGGCAGGTAATAATATACTGAAGGGCAGAGAGGTAATTTTCTCTGAAGATGCTGGCAATACTGTCTTAAAATATGAAGTTTAATATTTTTAAATTTCATTGAACTAACAGAAAGCCTGACTTTCTTATAATGTAACAGGGAATATTAAGCTAATATTGTCTTTGTCAATAGTTCTTCTGTATTGGGTATTGGTTTTCACTGGGGAAGAGAATTCCTGTGTTCTCAGAACCAATACTGTGTTTTTGCATATATTTAAGGTAATTCCATTCAGCTCTATATTCTTATTAAGTTGCTTTTCCAGTAAGTGTTGTTGGAATTACTAAATCTGTCCTTGAAAAGAGAGGGGCAAAAAGGAATGCGTTCCTCACGACTGCCTAGCACTGCCCAGCATGGGCAGGAGAAAATAGTTATGTCTCACTGTCTATGTTGTTTATACTGCTAAAGTTCCTACGTCTCTGATCTTGTGCATTTCAGTATGGTACATGTGGTTGTGCTGGATGTGACAGAAAACAGAAAGATGGAAGTTGTGCTGAACAATTATAGAACAGTTAGAGAAAAGGACTTTTGTTTTCTCAAGAACATAAATTACCGTGCACGTATGGTCAGAGAAAGTGGCACTGAGGGAATATACAGACTTTTGTACTGAGCCAGGGTACCCTTGTGGAGGTGTGAAATGTACGTTGTTCTTCTAAATTCAGAACCACTCTGATTGGGTTGCCTAGTTCAGACTTGAGTTTATGTTTTGGTGTGTCTTTAACAGTACATTGCACCAACAGCCTTTGTTCATGGTTGTTTGGATTTTCTGAAAGAGAGGGCAATACAAAATATTTGAAGAATATGGGTTTTTTAATTGCAAAGCTCATAATTTCTGTTTTCTTGTATTGCTTGAAAATACATATTGTGTTCATATTGACTGTATATCAATAATTAAGCGTTTTTGTTTATTTTCCATTGCCTTTTTCACACTTGCTTGCTACAGCGAAAGAGCTGATCCCAGTTACTGTAAAGATAGAATTACCGAAGGTGCCAATATTAACAAGTCATTAGTTACACTTGGAATTGTCATATCTACTTTAGGTAAGCACATTAGTTCTTTATATTGAAGTGTAGCAATAAAAGCATACAACTCACTGTGTGTTGAGTGTAATTGTTATTTGCATTTACATCAAAAAGCTCAACAGAACAGCTGTGTGTTGTCTTTATAAATTGTAATGACATCTAAGAAAATTAAGTAGCCATGACAGAAGAAAATAACTCCTTTCCTGAGCTCTGTGTTACTTCTCCCTCAGCACAAAATTCCCAGGTGTTCAGCAGCTGCCAGAGCATTAACACCCTGACCAGTGAAGGGGAGAGCAGCCGTGTGGAGAGCCCTCCCTCGGGCGGCAGACGGCCGGCTTACATCCCCTACCGCGACTCCATCCTCACCTGGCTGCTGAAGGACAGCCTGGGCGGCAACTCCAAGACCATTATGATTGCCAGTGAGTTTGGTTCCTATGAACTGTTTAACATTTGGCAACACATTGTGCCTTTAATAAGAACCTCTACTGCAGTGAGATGACAGCTATAACACTTCGAGTCTGTCCTTGTAAAGATTTTCATAAATACTTCAGAGAATACTCAAGGAAATGAAAATGCATGCTGATTGTGCATGAAATTATGTTTAAGAGTCTTACCAAGGTGATAGCTTCGATTTTAGGTGATTCATTCTGTTATAATTACAGTCTGGAGAAGACATTCTCTGTGAGCTGAATGAAATAATCCTAGAGTTATTTTTTAAAATCCTTTAAAGGAGCAAGACTGGAAAAAAAAACCTTTTTGAAAAATGATGGGTTAAGCTGAATATTTTTTAAAATTATGTAATTTGTTTTCTTTCTAGCTATCTCACCTGCCAGCTCCAGCTACAACGAGACCATGAGTACCTTGAGATATGCTGCAAATGCCAAAAATATTATTAACAAGCCCAGAGTAAATGAGGTGAGGCCTTGAGTTCTGCCTAAGTAGCTTATGCAGTCACAATTTGTCTTCCTCTCAGTACACAAAATAATGAATGCCTTAAATACATGGGAATAATTTTGGCCACAGAATCCAAGCTTCATTCATTGCCTGTTCTAGGAATGAGCTCTGACTTTATGACAGATTCATTTGTTTGTGTAGAGTTCCTTCACAGGCTGCACAAGTTAAAAGATGGCAGAGTATTAAGGAGAGCGTCAGGTGCTGCATTGGAGGCCTGAATTCTATTGCTGCCCCTACTATCCCATTCTTGTTCAATCCTAGATGTTCAGAGGCTTAAGGCAAGTTTTCAGTTGTGCTTTTTTCTCATTTCCCATCCTTACACCCAGTCCACATTTATCAAATGTGAAAAACATAAACTCTCAATCAAAGACATAGTGTTAGAACAGATTGGACATTTTAGATACTATAGTCATAAGAACCAGCATTAAAAATAATTCACAGAGAAGTGCATAATTCTGTCTGTCCTTACAGCAGAATTCAAGCAGCACATACTGATCCAGATCTCCAATCACATATGCTAGAAATCTAAAACTCAAGAATTGCTGTTCTGTAACTGACCATTCTTGACCTGAAATTCTGCATGAGGCCCCCTTTACACATGATTGTATAACTTAGGGACTGAATTAGATTGCATCCATTTAAGGAATATTCAGTGAATTTAGGTTTCAAAAATAGTCTTGATTCCAGCCATTTCCTAATATGTAATCTATTTACTTTACAGCTTTAGTAGTACTCTTTTGTGATTTGGCACGAGTCTATCAAGGTTTTATATTTTAGGTGGAAGGATAGAATCTTAAAGTTGTACTTCACTATTTGCTTTCCTAACAATACTACATTAAATTTGGGCAGAAGGAAACCCTTCTAATCCTAGGCTTCCCAAATTTAATTTGCATTTTGATTAGCAGTGCCTTTATGCTGTTTTCAGACATCAATAGTAGCAGCAATTGTGTGCTTGGTTTTGCCAGCAGCAGTTCTCAGCTCTGTGACAGGCTAAAGTCACATAAACACTCCTGGGTAAGTCACTTGTCACACACAGCCTCTTAGCCTCCCAGCTTGTATACCCATCCCTCTCTTGCACAGCCCATGGTAGACCCTTGACCCCAGCCCTTCAGTCTTCTTCGCCTCACTGCAAATTGGCCTGGCAGCCCAGAGAAAGATGATTCTTGACTCAAGAGTTTGTCTGAAATGTCTGTAAAAGCTGTTTTCCAGAAACTACGAGTACAGAAACACTAAATCTCTGAATCTCTGAAAGTGAGATAAATGCCTGACACCAAGCAGACAGGAAATTCTTTATGTATCAGCTTTATATATGTATCTTTATGTGTGTATGTAAAGGCTTTTAATACCATCCTGGATGACACTCTGGCTTTGTCTCCTCCAATCGGATTTTATATACCAGTTTTAAGTTGCAGCATCTTTCTGATGTAATGTAGCTATTTTGAAGGTGAATCCGTAGAAGCAGTGATGTATCCCTCTGGTCATGATGGGAACAAATGCTATGGTAGGTCTGTGTTCAGAAGAGAGATGGGAAAATGTTTATGGTGAAAGAGAATAGGTCAAAGATGAGAACCAGCTGTCCCTAGGCAGTGCATTCAAGGGCCTGGCAGAGTGAAGCAAGGCATACTGCTGTGAGTTTGCCTGTTCTCTCTCTCCCTGGCTGTTGGAAAATCTCCACATTGACTTCTTATACTACAGTTGAAGACTGAGTTTTCCAACGGTCTGTGTCTCAATGTTTCAGGATGCAAATGTGAAACTGATCAGAGAACTGAGAGAAGAAATTGATAGGTTGAAAACTATGCTGATGAGCTTTGAACTGGTATGTAGCAACATTTCTCTACTGGAACTTTTGTGTTACTTTAGGTAGTTTACTTTCATCTCACCTGTTTATCTTTCCAAACTGTTCTCTGGGTGATTTTGTAATTATTATAAGGTTAACTGCTTTTCTGTAATTTCTCCTCTTTCTGTCACTGTACTGATGAACCTGAATTATAAGTAGTCATGTAATGATTCAAAAGGATTTCCTTGCCTGTCTTTCATAGAGTTGGATTGTTTACCTGTCCAGAAATACCATAAAATAGGATATTTTATTTTTAAGGGTATGGAAGCTTCAAGAGATTAATTGATGTTTAACACTTCCTGCATGCTGTCTCCCCACAAAGGAGTTGTGAACATCTGGGAGCCCTCACAATACAGCTGACATCCCTGGTGTTTTTCCCTGTTGGAATAATAATACTGATTTGGTTTTCCAAGACATAGAGAGAATGTTTTGCTGGGAGAGACAGAACTTACACTTCAGAATGTATTTACACAGAACTATCTGTCAGTTATTGCTTTCTACGAGTTCTTTACACTCAAAAATTGCATGCAATAGCTAGAGAGATGTAGGCTAGATGCATGTGTTTTGTCTTTCCTTCTCTTGACTTCATCTCCTTGAAATGCTGGAGAACATGCCTGCCAGCTGAGCATAAGAAAACTAACCTGCAGATCTTGGTGGCTGTTGTTTGTACAGAGAAATTCCAGTCCCTCTTGGAGTGATGACAAGGATGGCAATCTGACAGAGCTGGTCCTTCAGAATGAAATGAAGGTGTGTTTGATTTCATTTACTTGGTGCTGTAACTACCTCTCTCTCTAGGCATGGAGGATAGCATTGCTGTAGTTGTGAAACTACAGTGAAAACTGTTTTGTACTAATCCTTTCCTTTTTGCTCTGCAGATGCAGGAAGCTGCTGTCCTTCATTCATGTTGAGTGTGCTCCACCAGTTTGTGACAAAAGTCTCATGTCCTTAATGGGACACAGTCCATTGTGCATCACTAAGCCCGCACAATCTGCCTCTTGTTTGAAAGCTGGCTCAATATATCACAGCAATCTATTATACACAGTCTCTCCCTTCTAACATAAACTCCAATTTAGTCAAATGAAATTATTGTACACTTACCAAAATTACTGAGAGGATTTGATCACTGCTAACCTGGAAAGATTTTGCAGACTTTAGGTTTTGCCCAAAGACAGGCAAAATAATTTGTTAGCATGATCAAAAAGAAAAATTAGCCTGCTTAGTAATGAAACAGTTCTCTCTTCTATTCTTTAAGATTGAGCAATTGACCAAAGACTGGACAAATAAGTGGACAGACAGAAAAGCCATCATGGAAGAATACAGTGTGGACATCAACAAAGAAAAAGCTGGAGTAACAATAGATTCTAATTTACCTCATCTAATGGCCATGGATGATGATATTCTCAGCACAGGAGTGGTGCTATACCATCTCAGGGTGAGATATGGTCACTTGTCTTATTTTGCCCTTTAATTTGAAAATATTTGTTTTCTTTGGAAATGGAGAGTGGTGTGGGTGACATTGCAACAACAGCTATCAAAATATGAAGGTTGCAGATCACAAGACATAATGGAGGAGAAAAGCAGAAAGTAATTGAAATGGCAAAGAATTCATATATGAATATAATTTGACCCCTTATGAATGCATGTGCAAAGTATCAGAATTATATTAAAAGCAAAGCAAAATATTTAAATTAGTCCACACAGCATGAGGGCAGTTACGTGTCCATATATGTGGAAACATAAAGGATGGTGCTTAAAATATTCCAGACACACTGGTCCAAATTTTATTATGCATTTGTATATTTAAGACTGGAATATTTGTATATGTATAGATAAAAGTAAGGTTTAAGAAACAAAAGCTCACTTTGGCAACGACTATATGTTGCTTTTAACCCTATGAGTGATCTGCCAGGTAGATACCAGACATGTAGCATGAAGGTAAATTACTTGTGATACTGCTGGAGTGGCTATTTCTGAAGATCACGTAGAAGTCCTGGCCTCATAGATACTGTTGTGTTCTGTAGCTGCTAATTTAAGGCAAGTTTTTTGCTAAGAAGCTTTTATAACATTGTATGTATGTTACTGAACATTATGGCATAAGACATGCATGGCTGGCTCTGATGGTTTTAGGGATTTTCTGGTTTTTGATACGGCCAGTGCTAGGCCAGACTTCAACATTTTTAATGTTGTTTAAATGAATGGAAATTAATGAAATATTGATGCTGCTTAATGTGAAAGGCGTGTTGGATGAATACTTCTACAGGCACGCACTCATTGCCAAAACATATGTAAAATACAGTTTAAAATCATGTATCTGTCTACTAATAAAAAAATCTTTATCTAGATTTTGTGGTAATTAACAATTTAAGGACACAGAACTTTTTTATTCCTCTTATAAATGATAGCAAATAGTTAAAACAGAAATCTTGTTGTTCTTCTATCATGTTGAAAGAGAAACTTAACTAATTTTTCTCATGCCAACACAAAGAAATTGCACTAGGTAATTATGAGGGACCAAGTATTTTTGTCCAGTGCTGATCAACATGCAACTTCAACTACTCAACCCTACATTAGCAATAAATATTTATTGAAAGCAACTGCTACTACTTAAATATTTTTTCTATTATGTGCCATTGGGGAAAGAGGAAATACTTTCCCACACTAATTTTGATAACACCTAATTTAAATATATTCATTTTAATGGCATAACATGGTTTGAAGGATCACCTTCTGAAGTCATTCATGACTCTGTCCCACTAACATCTTTGTCCCTTCTTTCTTTGCTTCTAGATGCTGCCTTTTCTTTTCTTTGTGCTTTACACCTTTTAGTCTCTGGTGTCTGTTACCTTCATCTGAACAGCAAGAAGGTAAAACGTCAGCAGTTCCTTATAAACTAAGGCTTCACCATATAACAACTCTTTACATTGTACTTCTAGAGAGAGGTCACAGCAGCATTTTCCAGATCATGCAAAATAAATATTGTGTTACTCTTTTACTCCCCTGATATTTCATAGCATTAATTGCACTAACTGATGCTGTGCCTATGCCTAATTTCTGGCCTTTCATTAATAAAAAATGTATGTTTTCCTGCAATTTAGCTGACCTTTTTTACACAGCCTGAAAATATGCAGTTTGTTTATTGTTTCAGTAAAAGATGTACTTCATAACCTTATCTGAAAGTTGGAGTGTTCCAGAAGTGATGGGGCAAAGCAATCTTACTTTTTATAGTTCTGTAACGTACCTTAGGAATTCTACCACTAGTGATGAGAAACAGCCAGAAGAGGAAACAATGTGAAAACACTTCTAGGGGTGTGAAGATGCACTATGGTGTGCTCAGGTCAGGTTGTGCAGTTGTTTCATCTGAAACACCTTTCCCTTTTTCAGGTGGAATACTCAATATTAAATTAAGAAAGAGTATAAATATTATAATTATTAGCTCAATAATAGCATTTAAAAAATGAAATCAGCATGGTCCTGGGATATGGTTATTTCTTTGTTTTCTCAAGTTGAGTTGGTTTGCTTGTATCATATCTGTACCTTTGGTCTCACCTGTAATTTTTAGTTGGACTTAAACTTACCCAGAATCACCCCACTAACTGGGATACTGTTGTGAATTTCCTGAGCCAATACTGCTGTAATACACTTTTCTTAATTAAATTGAATTACCAGAGAGTTAGTTCAGCAACTTGGAAAAAGTTTCTTTTGGAATTACAAAAATTATTTCATTGCCAAAGAAGAACATAATTGACAGTGAAGAAGATAATTGATAAAGAGAACTTTTAGGAGTTGGTTTACTTCTCTCTGTATAAAATACATGTTGCTAATTGACTTGATTGAGTGACATGAATCAAAGGCCATATGGAACCACAGGTTTTCTAGAAGTTGCAGCCAACCCAGGTGGATATTTTGGGTCTGCTGATCATTAAGCTGACATGTAACTTGTAATTGCTTCAGAGCAGAGGCACAGCCCAGCCTTCAGCCCCCCCAGCAAATGAAGTCTCAGCAGGGCTCGTGCCTGGGGGTCTGTTGGTTGGTTCAGACAGCTGAGCTCTGTGAGGAGCTTTGTGGTAACCATTCCCATTCAGCCCAGTGCACAAACCCACTGTGATTTACCCATAATTACCCAGGACTGGGACGCCTTGAAGTAGTGCACAGCTTCTGCTTTCCCAGTCTCCAGGCTTCCAACCACTACTTCGTGCTTGATCTTTAAATTCAAGCTTTACAATACACTTGGAGCAGAGAGTATATTTAATTTGTTCTAATTTGATTGTTTACTGTCCATAATTAATTTTAATAAAACTGAAAGGCTTGCCACTAAAGAAATTTTAGACCGCATTTACCAATCACTTTACCATAACCAAATACAGTGTCTCTTTAAAATTGGGAAATTATCCTAAGGAAAAACATAGAACTGGTAATGGAAAGTAATAGACTGATGGTAAATTAATTTCATTCTTTTCCTTTTTTGGCATTTTTTTCCTTGTGTTATTGTTCAAACTCTTTTATTGGTATTTGCAGGCAACCATAAAACTACTGTCTCACTTCCATCCCTGACCCCTAATATAATTCAGATCTTCTTGTTCTGGAGGCTTTGGTTTCTAGGCAGTTCTTTTTTTGAAGTTACTGAATCTTCAGGTTTGGAAATTTTCCCATATACCATGAGCACCAGGAAGACTTCATAAATGTAATTTAAATTTCAGAAAAAAGTTCTTCTTTAGTAGTTAAATTGAAGAGTTCATAATCTATGACAAAGTGCCCTTACAAATTAGGAATTCTGTTATGTTTAAATTTGAAAAGCCTGGTTAATTGAATCATCCTTTTGCAGCTTCTTTCTTTCTGCATGGATATTTATTAAAGGAATGATCTCATATGTGTAAACACCAAGTCTCACTGTGAAAGTGCAAAGGATCAGGATACATATTCATATCCAAAATACTTGTCTCAAGCACAGTCCAAACATCATCCACTGAGGGTTCTTTTATCTGCTGGAGTCATAAAAGCTGACATAGCTGCAGGATGAAGAGTAATTGCAATGCTAAGGGGGACAGTGGGCTGAAATATTACCAGTACACAGAATTCACTTCTAAGAGTGCAGTCATTCAGAGGAAATTTATTTTAAGTGTTTGCTAAAATGATGTACCAAAACTTTTTTTAAGTAGTATATATAATATTTTTTCCTGTAACCAACTTTTAAATTAGTTCTTTTCTTGTTTTAGGAAGGAACAACCAAAATCGGAAGAAGTGACTCAGACCAAGATCAAGACATTGGTAAGAGAATGATATTGCAATTTACTTTGTCATATGCTCAGGTCAGACCAAGAGGTGTACATTTGTCATGAGTAACAGCTAGGGTAGTGTTTCTTTTCATCAGCTTTCTTCATTGAAGTTAAGTAGAAGAGACTCATTATTGATGTTTGCTAAAATATGTGATTATTTTTTGTTTAAGAGGCCAAAAAGTCACTGGATTTGATGAAATTGAGATCTCTTCAGAATTTTCTTCCCACCTGTGAAATGCTACACTAGAGTTTAAAATTATCTACATCTTACATCCAAATTCTCAGATGTTCTGTCCTAAACTAGGGGCACAAGCGATCATGAGACATTGAAAATGCTTTTCAACTCTACTTGCACAGAATAGTTTAGATAAAGTGCAAATTATTTAGAATATATCTTACTTAATTTAATTTCTGCTTTTAATTTTCTCAGTCAATTTCAGGAGATAGATACTGAGATAGAGAACCGAAACTTTCTACTGAAATTGGAAAATTTGCGGGGTCCCAGCTTTGGTTAAGTTCTGCTAAGCTTGATTATGTTTGATTGTTTTCTGCCAAAAGATAAGTAAATTATAAACAACAAATGCCATAATGGCATTAAGAAAATTCAACATAACAGAAGAATTTGCACATCAGCTCACAGACCAGAAAGTGATATGTAGTTTTCCAGTAGTAGAAGTAAAGAAACAGTGAGTTTCAACAGTGAGTTTCACTAGTAAGTTTTTCTGTGATTAGGTATTTACTAGCAGTGTTTAATCTCCTTGTTCTGCACACGGTATGTTTGTCTGGGGTGTGCAGCATGCATAGCGTCAAACAGTTTGTGGCGGTCTGAGGACAGCAGGGCCTCCCCAAGTCCTTCCCCAGGTGAGACGGTGTCTGTGTTGCAGTTTTGCAGGGGCAGTGGATTGAAAGGAACCACTGTCTGATAGAGAACCAGGGCGGCATCGTGACGCTGCGGCCGGGCCCCGGCGCGCGCTGCTCCGTCAACGGCTGCGAGGTGGCCGGCTCCTGCCGTCTGTCACAAGGCAAGGTTTGCGCTCCCTGGGGAAATGAGCCCTGCGTCATGGGCACCCCATCCCTGCAGTTCAGATCTACAATTTACGGATCTTGAGCAGATCAAAGATGTCTCTCAGCCTGCTGCCAGCTCCACAAGTTTAGATGCATGGCTAAATAAATTAGGCACCCCACAGAAGTAAAATGAAAACATTGGTGACAATATTATGTCTCCTTTTGGCAACAGTAGTTTGTTGGTTTCTGAAAAGGGAAGCCATGTAGTCAGAGACTTTATTGTGGAAAATAGTGGAGACTGACTGTAAGCCAGCTGGCCACTGAAAGGGTTTTTTGGCAATTATATAATATGGTCGAAACAACCTTCAGCTTTTTCACTGTGTATTGAGGTGGAAGCTGGTAGCCACTAAGTCATAGGCTATGATGAATGAATTCAGATTAAATGGGTCAGGCTTCCAAACTTTCAGGTTTCTTAAAGTAGCAGTCTGGCTCCTGGGAACTTGCAATGTTCTCAAAGATATTGTGTAAGGAGTCTTAAAGATACAGTGTAAAAACAAGTTTTCAGCAGTGGGTTGGTTATGGGTTTGGCATGAAGACATGCTGGCTTTTAATATGAAAGGGGAATTTACAGTTATGTTTACTCTGCAGAGATCTCCAAGATTAGTTTGCTTGAGTGCTGTCATTACAGATTGATAACTCTGCCATTCCATAGTGACAAATTTTAAAAATGGTTCTCTATTCTGTGATTTACAGAAAGCAGTGGGTCAGATTTTTTTTAACCTACTATTCTATAGTAGTTTGATGAATTATGTCTCGGTAAATGTCTAATTATTTTGTTTTCACAGGGGCCCTTGTTGTCCTTGGCAAATCTCATAAGTTTAGATTCAATCACCCAGCAGAAGCTGCTATCTTAAGACTAAGAAGATCAGTAAGCTCTAAAACTGTTTTTCTTTACTATATTTTTTCCTCTTTTTTTCCTATTTTTTTTTCTTCTTAAAAGCCAGCCTGATAAAGATTATATTTCATCTCACCATCATATTCACTTGCTTCATTTCCTCCATCTAATGGCCTGTAATGACGCTAAACCTCTTGTGGGAGGACACTAGCACTTCCTTCAGATGTGCTTAGCAAAAGATGATGCAGATCCCTTGAATAATTTAGTGTTTCCTATTTCTAGTCATGACTACAGTAGGATTGAAACAAAAAGGCAGAATGCTGCAGAAAAGACCAGTTAAGAATCTTTCCACATTTGATACTTTTCTGAGTTATCTTCCTTCTTTGTCATTTCACTGTCTTGAATGAAATATACTAGAAGAAATGGAAAATTTATGGGATTAAGTATTTAAGTGTTGTTGACTCTGGAAGCAGTTAATTGTTACATACATCAGAAATAGACAAAATATTTCTTGGTATGTTAAACTCAGGAAAAAAATTACTGCAAGTTATTATTTGGTTTGCTAGTTCAATAATGTTTAAGAAATGAGGTAATTCTTAAAATGACTGACAAATGTAACCAAAAATTTAACTTAAAAAATATAAGTTTTCTCATTTAGGAATTAACCATATTATCAACTGCTATTGTCAAGAGTCTACCTTTTAAAATGGATTTTCATTTATTAACATTTTCTACTTTCCACTCTCCAATCCTTCTGTACTCACTCCGAGATAAGGAGCTTAACTTCTGTTTGTTTTCATTCTTAATTCCTTGATTAATGAAACATGCTGCACATTCAAATAGAGCTGCAAAAAGAGATGTACTCAGTAACAAACACTTAGCTGTTTTGCTAATTAACAAAGACTAAGCAGAAGTATGAGATTATAAACTCACATGGGAGGTACTATGCAGCCTTGCACACAATAGGTAACAATGACAGTACTAATGATACCTTGGAACTTCCTGGGTTGCTGTGATTTTTATTTTAATTCCTGTCCTATGTGGTGTGCTTTCTGTAGATTAATGAAACCCCACCCACTATGAGTTATGGAGCTTTGGACTGGCTCAATTTGGATGGAAGTTGCATCAATTCTCCACACTATATCCTTTCTTCTTTCTACAAGTAAGTTTAAAACTGAGAAAAAAGCAACTGAACAAGCAATTTCTCTTTTGGGATGATGTATGAAATAAGGGACTTGGTTCAGACAAAAGAAAGCTGTATACAGAGTAAGTCCTACCATGTTTTTAAGTAAGTAGTCAAAAAGAATTGTCAGAGAAAATACATTGGCCCGACGACTAATATAGAGCATTAAGGTATGCAAGCAACAAACCTGCAAAATCATTTATTGATGCTCAATTAAGAAAGTACCTCAGATGAGACTGCCAGCCTTAATTCAGTTCTCTTGGACATCTGCTTTACAGCTAATCTATAATTTTTACAATATTATTACTTCAATGCACAGAATGGCCTTTTCAGGATATGATTTAGCCAAGGCAATTATTACCTATCGACTCTCACTGCTAATTTGTTGAGGAAATCAGAAGGTTTGTTCATAAATTCCCTTTAGTTCAAGTCCTCATTGAGCCCTTCATCTCAGAAAGCCAATGCTGTTCCTTGCTTGTTTTTTTTTTTAACTGAGCAGTAAATAAGGCACATACTGCTTTCAAAGTGTTGAAGAGCTGCTCATACTCAGTGTTTAGTGTGTGCTTTTGTAGCAGAGATTTCATGAAATGGAAAGAATTGGTGTGATTAATATGTATCAGGAAAATGAATTATGTTCTGTGTTTCAGTTCATAACATTGAAAACAGAATATTACTAAATTAAATAAAACTGTGTTCTTTTTCTTTTTTAATTCCTCTCAGCCTCACCCATTCAATTAACCTGTTAAAGGCAAGAAACAGCCATCTTCTCATTCATATCTGCTGGTGGTTCTGCTTCTTGCTAGAGTGTTTTTGGTTTGGTAACAAACTGGGAATCTTTTATCTCTTTCTAGAGGAAGTATTTAATCTCATTTTTATGAGCATAAAATGTTATCTCTGTTTTAAATATTCTTCATGCTTCTAATCAAGTGGCTTGCTTTCCACCTTAGATAGTGTGTTTTTATATGTTCTCTTTAAGGTATCTAATCTCTGCATTTGCTTTTCATTTGCTGCAGTGATACCTGCCTATACAAAACATTGCTTCATTTTGTTTCTTTACTGAAGAACATTTTACACATCATTGCTATTCTTTTCTTAGGAAAAATTAGAAATAATTTCAAAATTAATGGTTTGTCTAATGACCTTCAAATGTACACACCAAGGTGCTCTTTATGTTGCTAAAAACATTAGTTGTGGAGCTCTTGTCACAAGTTTTTTTGATGAATCTAGAAAAAACTGAAGAAATCCAGAAGCATTTTCAACAGTTTATCACAAATTTATCCTTGATTTTCCCTTTTTAGCCTGACAAAACTGCAGAACATTTCTGAATGATTTTTTCTTCCCAATCATGTTCAGATAGAAGACTTGTTTGTGTTGAACAATTTTCCAATCCTTTGAACAGGATATTACAAGTATATTACATTGCTTAAAGTTACCCTCATGCTTGCCTAAATGGATTTCAGATGGTTACTTCAGTAAAGATGAAAAATGTTATGGTATTGATTTTCTTAGGTTTTATCGATGTCCATCTCTTATAGGACTGATCTGTAAACTATGTCTTATAATAGCTGGGTTTTCACCTTAAGTAATCCAGTGGTCCTACTGTCCTTTTGAGTAGTTATTTGGCATAGGTAAACTGAAGTGATCCACTCAGCCTTGCTTTGCAGTAACCTGTGGGCCTGTTTCTGTACAGACAAGAAGTTTTGCTCATGGAGGGGGTTATGGTTGAGACATCTAGCCTAAGATTGATATAAGAATAAATGTCAAGTACTAAAAGGTGTGTGTGACCAAACCATAATACAGGACTAAGTCGACTACAGGGAGTGTGTATTTGATCAGCAGTAGAGAAGTCCACCCTAATGCAGGGCCTTGTCTCTGTCAGAAAGAGATGGTTAGAGGAAAGCAGAAGACCAGGTAAAGCTCTGTGTGTGTCTTGTTCTCTGTCCCACTCCCACTTGAAAGCTCTTGGTGCTCTCTCAGCTGCTAGAAAACTGCATCTTCCTCTACTGAAAATGACAGTAACATTGTGTGCAATAGGCTTCAGTGAAGTTTTCTTGCCTTTTTTCCCCAAATATTTATGATTTTCTATTTTTATTTTTGCAGTCAAAAATGTAGAAACTGTGAAGAAAACAAATGTTCTCTTGAACCAAGGTAAGACTATTAATGTGTCTAAATCATGCTGAAATTTTTGGCACCTTCAGCTTTGCCTTTCTCCTGTGCTACACTGATTTCCCCCAGAAGGGATGGAAGCTAGCACTTTAAGCTTTAATTCAAACTATTGTATCATATTGGAACAAGAATCTGTACATGAAGCTGAATTGCAGCTGCAAGGCTCTGCAGCTATGTTCTTTATTCACATGAGATCTTGTGCAAAGGGTGTGCATCTTTGTTGCATGTGTAGAATGCATTTAAAAACCATTAATAGAGTGAGGCTTACTCTGAAGTTGCCACCAATTTCCAGCATATAAGAACCCTAAATGTATTAGATTTTGTGCCAATAGTAGGTACTGGGAATACTCATTAGTATTTTGAAAATTGCTTGGATAAACTGGGTTCTCTTCTGGTGAGAATAAAATCGCTTTAGGGAAAAGTAAAGATAAATAATTCCTGGCATAGAATGTGGTTCATTCATGCAAAGGAGCACAGCAGCAGCAAACAGAAGTAATTCAGAAATTGTTGAGTTTCCACGGGTTTAAGAACCTTTTTCATCAGGACATGATGGTACCTTGCTTTCTTCTGGATTTTTCATTTCAGTCATGTCAATATATGTATTACAGTAATGATTATTAATGATAGGAGTCTTATCTCCCATGCTGTCAGTATGGTGACATTTTTCTTATCCGCCTTTTATGAATTACAATATTTAATGTACAATTAAAGTTCAACCTTTAATTGTATATTAAATATTATGAGGAATGAGAGGAAAAACTATTTTCTACCACTGCCCACAAATATTAAAACTTCAGGCATTGTGAGTCATTATACTCTAATTTGATTACTTGTTCATACACCCTGCTCATAATAGCCCCAGCACTGCAAATTTCTGATGCTTGCTGTCAGCCAACAAACACAGAAGGCTTGTGAATGGCATCAGTCATATTACAGCATCACCACAAATAAGTAGATAAGAAAGGTCTTTCTCCTGCCATTGCTTTAATGCCATACAGCATACAAATAAAAACTCTGATTTTATTGTCTTGCTGGTTTCAGAAAAAACCCCATAGGAGTTTTTCCATTAGAGTTCAGTGGTATAGCAGTACGCTGAATTATTTAGGTGCTTGGAACATGCTTAAACTTTCTTTCCTTGAAAATACCAAAATTGTTAAACTGGGGGGGAGAAGGTATTCGATATAGCATAACAAACATATTCTAATGTGGCATAGTTCACTTGACCAACTACCATCTGTAAAATATTCTGAGTTCTCACTAACAGCTTTCATTTGAGAATTTCAAAATGGTCTACCAAAAAAACCCAAAAAGGTTAAAGAAAACTTTTTCATCTCTTAAAAGATACCTCAAATATTCTGTTTCACAGAGAAATGCACTGTGTCAGTTTACAGCAACTCTATGATTTACAGCAGAATTCTGTGAAGGGGATTAGCAGGGTAACTAACAAATTCTATATATAACACACAATGTGATGTTAGCTGAACTGTGTTAGCTGAGCTAGAGTTTAAAGAGGCAACATTGGCCTTTATTGGAGAATGTGCTGTGTCTTGTGCCGGTGACTCTTGGCCAAAAAGAGATCTGGTTTAGAGATATATTTAAAGGGGTGCCTTAAATAAGTCGTTGCTTTGCTTTTATTTTGGGGGCTTTGGCAAAGAAAAAGAGGTTTTGCATAGAAAGGCTAAAAAAAACACATATGAAACAGAACAGTGTGATTATTCTCTAAGCAAACCAGTTAATCAGAAATCTAAATGATACTCATTTGATGGTAACTTCTGTGAAGGGGATTACTATGTGTGTAGGTTTCCAAAGATATTTCTAAAGGTTTCTGACTCTGCTGGCCATTTTGACTGATTTCTGGCTCCCATCTCCTGCCCACCACTCCCCAAATTTTGGGTTGAATTCTGTGAGTGGCATTCCTTCAGGAGGCTGAAGGAGGTGACAACACAAGGTCTTTGTTTCTCCTTTGTTGCTCTTCCCTTTGCTTTAGGGAGCAGGAGGGAGAGGTTTGGCCCCTGTGTGAGGCAGCAGCAGATGTAGAGCCTGTGCCTGTGCCTGTGCCTGTGCCTGTGCCTGTGCCTGTGCCTGTGCCTGTGCTTGTGCCTGTACCTGTGCCTGTGCTTGGTGCTGCTGCTGCTGCTGCTCTGAGCCCCTGCGGGAAGGGCCCCGGATTGGACATGGCAGGAGGGGGAGGATGGAGCTGGAGAAGGTGGGAGCAGTGGTGGAGATGTGCATTCGTGGATAGGCTTGTAGCTCTAACTTGTGACTGCCCTCAGTGTGGGGTTTGCAAGGGCACAAAATGCCTTGCCAACATCTTTTTTTCTGCTTTATTTTTAACTCCTTTTCCCTTGGGAAAAATAATTTGTAAATGGCATATAGGACTTGAACACTAGGCAGTCAAAAAGATGGGGATGCTAACTTGACTGATGTTTTCTTTGAGAAAACTGGAGAATTTCAGCTTTTACCACAAGTCATTATTTTTCACTGTGGTTTCTCTATTTGAGCCTTAGGATTTTGTTGCAGCAGGTATTCAGAGCTATTGCTGCCATAGTTACTGGAAGCTGCATTATGCTGTAGCAGCCGCCAGCCTCTGCATCAGCAGCAGAAGTGTTTGGGGAAGAGGGGAGGAGAATTGCACAATAGGATCCCAGAGAGCTGACAACAAAACCGGCTGGAAAAAAATGTGGATTAACAGAGGGTTCGTTTAGCGTGCATCGTGCAAACTTTGGAGAGAAAAATGAGATGAAAAAGCAACGCAGCAGAATCGGTATCATATTAATGTTTTCTCAGTAATTTGTGATTATCTTTAGTTTAGGGTTGGGTGTCTTTTTGTTGTCATTTTACTTGCAGCTTTTAATGGTTTAGTTGGAGGAGGGGGTAACTGTTGACACTTCTTGCTGCATTTGATACACCCAGAAATCTGCATGCTTTTATGAAATTCTATGCAGAATTGCTTTTTTTAGTATACTGTATGCTAGAGTATGCTGGTCCTCTGAAACCAAGACTTCATGTATGTCTTGATACCTACAGAAATGAAGCTGTTTCTCTTATGTTTCTCCGGAGGCTATTTTAATTCCTGCTAGAACTGTACTGAGTGCAGATTGCTTGTGTGGAAAAGCAGGCACATGAGCAACAGCATGCTGGGCTTTTTTCCTGTATCTCATAGCATTCCAGTGTTTCATGTCTAAATTTACCAGTATATATGATTTAAGATGTTTTAGATAAAAAAAAATTGGTGATCTCTCCTACTTATTACAAAATCTAGCTAAATTCCTATGTTAACTGGATTGATACTTGGTTTAGTTTAGTCATTCAAACCTATATGACACAAACTGTGACTGTTCTTTGAATTACTTATTAGATAATTTAGCTATGAAGTGTGTGTGAATCTGTTATTTTCTTTCTGGGCCGTTGTCATGTCATTTTTTAGTTTAGTTTATCATGTTATTTCCACAAACCAGAAGTGTGCTGACATGACATAGCATGTTCAAAGGTAGAAAGGGAGCATTCTGACTTCATGTTCTTGGTTTCAGCAGTTTCTGTTAGAGACAGATCTGTATCCCAAACTAGCCAATAATTCTGCTCTCACAGCCAGAGGGAAAACATCCTCTTGCATTTTTGTATTATGTAAGTGGCTCTGCATGGATTTTCATTATCTTTTTGTTCCACTCCAGAAAGCTGTCTGTAAGAAGCAGCTTCATAAAAAGCTGTTTAATCTTCAGTCTCTGTAATCAGACCTGGCTTTACTGCTCTGCCTGATTTTTGCTTTGTGCAACTAGAAATTAGGAAATGAAGCAGAGACACTGAAATAACAGCAGAACTGCAACTTGCATATGTACCGGAACAACAGTATTTTGTTACAGAGACTTCAACCTTACAGAGGGAGAGTTGTACCAACCAGCTACATCACCTGAACAAAAGCAGAAAGAATGCTGCAGTGGTTGCTGTGCTGTGTTAGGTTTTCCAAGGGTTAAAGTGGAGTATGTCTGTTCCTCTGGACTCTGCCTTTCTGGGGTGTAGTCACAATATGGAGCTGTGATTAATACCATCAGTTTGGCCTGCCTCGTGTTCTGCTCTGGCTGCAAACACACAGGGCTGCTGGAAAGGATCTCACAATTTCATGCTGGTTCAGCAAAAAGCCATTACTACACACGTGAGGGAATATGCTAGTGCTGCTGAGAGCAAACAGCTCTCTGCCACGTGCATTGTTTGTATTGCTAATTCTCTGTTCCTTTATAATGTGGGGGTGGGGTGTGGTTTCAGCAAGGTTGGGAAGTACAGGAAAAGCTTGTGACCCTCTCACAACTGTAAGCTGATGTTACCTAACCACCCCTGTGGGCATTGTTACGTCTTTCGATTGAAACACAGCTCTGAGTTGTATCATTTACTTAAATGTTCTGGGTTTCAGTTTGTAAGCTGTTTGAAATCTAATAAGTCAATTTTATAGGAAGATTGGCTGAGGGCTAAAAGTCATGGTTAGGAAGAATGAGAGACATTTTATCAGAGGAATTTTATCTAGTTTTAGTAAACAGTTGCAGAACAAAAATTCTTTCACTACTGTTTTAGTATCATGCTTCTTTTCAGCCTGCTGGCAATGACTTACTCCATTTCCTCAGATTCATGCAGAATGATGCTAACAAATATAAATTAATAGAAATCAGCTCTTCTGATATTTGATTTTCTGATGTTTGATAATGCTAATGGATCCCCATCACTTGTCTTGGATGAATCTACTTTGCTTCTTTCACACGTGTCTCAAACTAAGAAACTTGCCCAAGGTCGTGTGAGACCAGTGACAAATTTAGATTCACATTTTTCAACTTTCATACCAGCAGAGGAACCAGAGCTTTCATGTGTCTGTTAGCAGAACAGGTTAAAGACTATCTCATCACCAGATTCTGCAGAGAGGCTGTTAGGTTTGGTGCATAAGCATCCAGAGGCACTCCTCATTCTGAGGACCTTGTGCAGGCCAAGGATGTGAAAGCACAGAGGTTCATGTAACTGCTCCAAAATCAGAAGTGTTTTGGCCCAGATCAGTACTTGAATCTCCAGGTTACATGGTTGCTCCATTAGAAAATATGGAAGGCAACCTCAAAGCTGTGCTTAGGGCAAGCCTCCTTGAGAGTTACCACTGAAACCTTGGGAGCTTTGCCTAGCAAGAAACTTCAGATTCAATACTGTGTTTGGAAAGTGGTTATTCTTTAGTGAACCAGTCTCTCTTTAAGCTCTGAGTTTGTGCTCCCGTGGCTGGGGGTGTTACAAACACCTGAACACTGCAGGTTTGTAATTGCCATAGGAGCGTTTTGGTGCTGCAGGGAGGGTTCAATTCAAACCTACTTCAGCTGAATGGGAAATGAGGCATCCCACTTCTATTTCCTCAGTTTATCTGAGAGCAGAAAAATTACAAATTACAGGGTACTGGCATCTTTGGAGATGAGCCAAGGACAAAGAGATTTTGGACCTGGATATTCTTACAATTGTTTGTGTGGGTGACAAATAGACACAAACCACTTAGCAGATGGCAGTAGCAAAGTTTGTGCTGTTTGCACCATGACAGACGACCGAACAGAAGATATTCTCTCTCAGTTACTCTCAGCATTACATTTACATAAACATTAAAACAGAATTCTGTTTTTCTCGTGGGAGCAAGATTCATAGTAATATTATAAATTATTGAAAATCTTAAAGCTTTTTTGTACTGAGACCTTCCTACTACTTCTTAGGAAGTGCAGTGCATGTATCATGTAAAGGTACTACAGGAGATTTCTAGATTTTCACTGCTCAGTTATTTCATCTGTTCTTTCTGCAAAACTATCACACAAAATCAAGTTTTTGCTGTAGAAATAGTTGCTTTGAACATATGCTTACAGTTCTAAATTGAGATGTTAAATTATTCCTGTATAGCAAAGGTCAAACACTCTTTTCGTACAGATGACCTTGTATTGGTAGTGGTTTTACAAACTACAGGATATTTCCAAAGATTTCATTTGAAATTACATTTTTTGAGGTTTTTTAACCTTTAGGGACTCTTTAGACTTTTGGTGTCTTTTATTGCTTTAGAAGTACAATGAATACATTATTTAATTTCTTATTAAAATGTAATTAAAACAAATTTTCAAGACTCAAAGGTTTAATTTTCTGAGGTTATATATACTAATGCAGTGTTTAGCAGGCAAAGACCATATAACACCTTTAGATATGATCTAACTTGGATGTTAATAATTTCTTGATGGTAACATGTGGAGAAGCAAAATATATATTCCTTTCAGAGGGCTAAGATATCTTGAGTATTATAATGCCTTATGGTAAGAAGAGATACTTCTGATTGTTGTTCTGTTGTTGTTCTGATACTTCTGAGATACTTTTGATTGTTGTTCTGTGTGTGTAAAATTTTGGCGCACAGTCAGAAGCCAAACATCTTAGAGAAGATTATAAAGCAGCTTTTCACAGGCTATTCACTTTTCTGATCCCAATTCTGCTCCAAATATAGAAGCAGTAACCTGATATAGTTCTTGCATCCAACAGAGATTTGGGTGATCAAGGTCTTTTGTTGGCACTGCCAGAGACTGTGGGTGTAATCTTGACAATGCCTGTAAATATTTCTAGGTTGGAGGTTTTGGTCTGAAAACAAAGAATGTTGGTCATTTCTGTAAAGCACTTCGAAGCACTTAGATGACAAGTATCTTATTTAGTGGTAATGAAATTTTATCATTTGAAAACAACCCCCTCCCCAGTTTCATCTATGGAAGAATACAGCAGAATAAAAAATGACAATACTTTTAAAAACTCTTTTTGCTGTTATCTTTCTGGCAATGGAATTACCTGCTTCACTGCTAGAGCTTTCATGTTTTCTGGCATTTTTGACACATACAGGGTTGCAGCCTGCTGTGACATGCATATACACAACTATAAGTTTTTGTCATAATGCACCCTTTTTGAACTAAACTATGTCTTGAATGTTGTCTGTCTTTCTTTAGTAAGATGATTCCTTTATTACAAATAATATTTGTTTCTGGTTTAAACTCACTGACAACATTTCTAACAGCGGAGAAATAGATGCTGTGCATGAAGAGTATAAGCAGAAACTGAGAGACCAGGAAGCTTTCCACAGAAAACAAATTCAACGACAGCAGCTCTATGTTGAGGATTTAAAGCAGCAGATTCTGAGAGGACAGATCAAAGCAGAGCGGGAACTAGAAAATGACCAAGCACTCATCAACCAGCAAATCCAAGAACGTGAGTACCTGCCTCTTCCCCTGCTTCAACTCCCTTCCATTACTGCATACTTTCATCCTCTCAACATTTTTTGTGCTATTGATACTTCTTTTAATGAGTGGAACTTTTATTATGGCTAATTACTGGATTTCTCCTCCAATTGCCTTTCCGTTGAGAACAGTTACTGAGCTTTGATTAACAGAGCTATAGGGCCTTCTTCACAGTGCTCCAGCAGCACTGTTTAATTAGCACTGCAGGTCATTAGCGCTGCTGGGAGGGACCGCACCAGCTACTCCCCTGTGGCCCTGAGCCTCCTCTCTCAGCCTGATCCCAATCCTGCCTCCCTACAGCCATGGTTATGATGTTCTCTAGCTTGTCTTCTAATCTATTTCATCTAGGTTTCTTGAGAAGCAAAGGGTGCCCATATAAAGGTGTCATTCCCACCTGGCAAAATCTGCTGTTTGAGCCTGGAAGAAGAAAACTTCCGTGAATTTTTGACAAGGTCTCAGACCAAAACTTATGCAGCCAGCTAACTTTTAATTTTGCCAGCCACAATGAAGAGATTAAAATGAAATTGTTTTAATGGGATATAGCAGAAGAATATGTAGATAGTACAGAAAATCCATAGAGTTTCCCCAAAATATCTTTATTTTGTGGCTCTGTAGACTTGTTCTCTGCCTCCCTCTAGTTCTGCTGTTTTCACTGTGTTCATGCAAAGCTCAGCCAGGCAGGTAGTTTTTGCCAGCCAAATACAATTCTTTAGTTGGCAATCCACCAAAGTTCTTCACCTTTTCTGTGCCCTCTGTGGCTCAGCTCCTGACAGAGGCAAGTTTTTGAGTAGAGATTATTTAGCATCTTAAGCTTGCAGCTCTCTTGCAGGGAAACTGATCTGCCAAATATTCTGCTTGCTAAAATCATGCTAAAGAGAACACATCCAAAAACAAAGCTAAGAAAAAAAGCTTTGTATGTCAAAACTAAAAATGTTATTAAAAAAAATTAACTAACATAATGACAAAAATGCTTCCCTTTTATCTACGAAGTTACTATAGAGTCAGAATTCCTACTTCTGTGCATGTGCTTTCTGCAGAGCTGCCAATATAAGCAGGACAGGAGACTCATTGTGGTGGGGATCACTAATGAAGTGTGTTTAACAAGATCAGTATTCATCAAGCAAGTGATACCTACAATGTCTCTGCACTAATGGTCTCTTGAACTAGGGAAAATTCCAGACCCCCAAATTCCTCTCTCAGCTGTGCAGAGCTGCAGGAAGCCCTCATTCATCACATCAAACTTAAATACCTCTTAATTCCTACATCCCTGAATAAGCCACGAAACATTGCTTATTTAGTAAAGGACTGCACATTGAAAGTAAGCTCAGCCAAGAAAAATTGCTGCTAGTAAGAGAGCAGTGCTTTGGGAAACTTGGGTTATTTGAGAGTGCTTCACTTGTAAAGGAACCTGGTCTGAAATTTTTATGTTGCTTGTTCAGCAATGAAGATTATTTTTTTGTTTGCTTTGAGCACTGAATGTGTATATTTTTATGGCAGCATAAAATATCTTCTTCATTAAGAGAACAGGTTCAAGCCATCAGATACAACCGGGTCATGGTGATCTCAATAATGTCTTCTTTTTTTACAGTTCATCATAGCTCAGACTGAAGCTGGTGTGCTCTGAAAAACCTCTAAGCACATCCATTCCTTGCATGGAATAAAAGTATTCTTGCATCTAGGGTTTAAAACAAATCAGCCTGGTTCTGTTCTCTACTGCATCCTCACTGACTGCAAAGATCAGGCTCTGAATATTTAGAGAAGACTTAGTATGTAAGCAGAGGTACCATATTTTGTTATCAAATTAGGCTAATCACTTGTTGTGTGAAATATTTGGCATTTATGAACTGTAGGGGTCATTAATGGAAGCAGAGAATCTAATTCTTTTTGTGGAGTAGAGTGGTAATTCTGTGAAAAATACACATTGACTGGTGGTATGAACTTGTGTTTTTTGAACTGTTTGTCATAATAGCTAAAGGTTGTGTTGGCTTCACCAGCATCTTTGCCATGACAGTATTTGTTTTTTTCGGTGCACATTTAACCAGTTGATCTTAAAGGTCCCTTCCAGCCCAAGCCATTTAATAATCCTTTAATATTATGATTACAAGCTTATATTCTGCAGTTGCTACCTGAGTCCTTAACCCAATGAAGAGGCTTTTAGTCATCAATGAAGTACAGCAACAGTACATTTTTCTTTAAATAGTTTGTTGAGTCTCTACTCTACATGCACAGAAATTCTGTTCTCAAATGACCTCTAAAGGATGATTAAATTAAGGAACAAGATAGTAACAAGTAATGGTTTTTGTGTGATTTTTACTTTCTCTCAACCATTGTTTTGTTTACAGACCAGCAGTGGCTTATAAATGAGAATAAACGTCTGGCTGCCCTTCAGCAGCAGCAGCAGAGGGAGTTTGCAGTGCAAACAGAGCCAGCGCTGTGTGCAGAGGCTGAGGTGCAGAGCACCACTGGGCTGGAAACCTGCCTTTCCCTGCTGCAGCAGAACAAGAAGAGACTGGTGCAGCTGGAGCTCTTGCAAAGGTACTCCTTAAAAAAGGCCGAAAGAAACATAAGGCGGAAGAAGGTCAAGTTCCGGCTGGAAAGGATAGTCAAGAAGCAGAAGCTGTTGGAAGCCAAGCAAAACCTGGAGCAGCTGGAAGCTAGCTGCTGGCTCAGTGAAGAGTGTGTGAAACAATCCCGAGGCCTAAGTGATAATATTGCTGTACAGTGCTCTTTGGATCACCACTTGCAAAAGAGACAGAAAGTGCTGGGTTTGAGGCACAGGCATTTGTTCTGTGACTCGTACCTGCCCCAGGCACCCAGGTAAGCTGATAGCTGCTAAATCCTCTGCACTTTCAAAAGTAACATAAATTCAAGGTATTTTCAGGCCACCTATCCTGAATGCCTTTCAATGTATTGAAGAAAATCCTCAAATCTGCGATATCAGTAAGCCCACTATATTGTACATCACGCTGGAGCTGTTTGTCCTTTTCCTTTGGGTCTGTACAGTACATTCCCTCCTTATCTGTCTAATGTGGTCTTTCTCACTTTTTTACATTTCTCTCTCAAGCCCTTCTGCACTTTTTACCTCTTTGAGAAGGCTTTTTAGAAGTGGCTTAGCTTTTGTTGTTGCCTTGTTCAGACTGTTGGTAAATACTAATTACTGCACCATTTTATCTTATCATCAAACTCTTCTTCAGAATATTGGTATCTTTGGGGTGATAATGCAAAGGACTTTTATACTGGTCAGCCTTTCTCAAGCTGAATAAACATCTCCATGCAAAGCTAAAATGTTGGGATGCTACAGTGTCTATCACAGCATGGTCCTTAGCAATTTCCACAGCAGGAAATAGCTAAACTCTGCTCAGTGGATTTCTGTGACTTAGAACTATCTTTTATTTTTAATTAACATTTACAGCTACTTGAGTCTACAGAGATTCAATGTGAAGCTATACCTCGAAGCACTGAGCTATTTCTTTGTGTGCAGGGCATCTTTCCAGATAGCAAGGGGATTTTATAATTAGTCACAGAATTTTATTTTTTTATTCCCTGCTAGAATTGAATTTTGAGAGGCATTAAGATTATTGCTTCATGAATTGTTATTCTTATTTGCAAGACATTACTGTGGTAAAAATGTCAACTACATTATTCAAGCGAGGATTGAACTTGATTTCTTCTTTATTTCCACAGCTGTTTTTCAAAGAGGGAGTCTGTCTCCAAGATATCTACCTCACCAAATATTGATCAATACTGTAAAGGTAGTAGAACAGAGAGGTTGTCACCTGTAGAATACCTTTACGAAAGTGATAAAGACATTTCTGGGAGTGATGACCTTAATGATGGAAAGGGGATCTCCTTTTCAGTCCAGAGGCAGCTAACTGAAAAACAAAAAACATCTTCAATTGAAAATAAAAAAGGAGGAGAGAAGTACTCTAATGATTCAGCTATCATGGCTTATATCAATAAAAATTATAAAAAAATGGAAAAGTTGGATGACAGTCCAGGGCAAGCTGGATCTCAAAACCAGACCTCTAAACGTTCCTCTCCTGATCTTTTTAAGGAGAAAGATGAGCCTAAAACCTTTATTACAGGGAGAAGAATGACAAAATCAAAGGTGCTAGGAGATTTAAGTCAGCCTGCCAGCAGCAATGTAGCACAAAATAAACCTCAGGTATCCAATAAAAAGATTAGAATGGATATCAATGGAAAAGGCCATAGGACTTCTCCAGAAAACTTTCCTAAACAAATGAAGAAAACAGTGTATGGAAACCCACCATCAGTGCATCTAAACCAAACAGTCAAGAACTGCAGGAGAGAGGCAAATTCAGCCTTGCCAAGTCATGAGAAATCATCAGCAGAAGAGAAAGAATTTCTGATGGCAGCGACATCAGTAGGAAATCTCACTAAGATGAACTCACAGACACCACTCTCTCATGTTGAAAAAAAGTGGCACAGTGCTGAGATGCTAAGTGCTGGAGTGCCCAAGACAGCCACAGATATGCTGGAGAACTGGCAAGAGGATGATGAAAATGAGATTTCTGATACTGACAGTTCCTATTCTGTCGATTCACTCTCCTGTGCTTATGCAAAAGCTGTTCCAGAGAAACTGAAACTGGAAGATTTTGACAGAAATAAATGTCTTGCCAACCCAGAAGATTCTGAGAGTGATGACAGTCAAATGTCACAAGACTCTCTGATAGAAAAGGAAAATAAAGCCAAAAAGCAAAATACAAGCCAATTTCACAAGTCAAAGGCCCATCATGAGCCAGCTAAGCTTTACAAAAGCAGAACTGAGAACCATATTTCATCTTTGGTGACATCATATGCATCTCGTAGGAGACTGGGAAAGGCGGAAAGAAGCTTTTCTCTGGATAGCTTAGCTGATGGAGAAGAGATGCCAGCAGAAGATCTGGTAGAAGAATCCAAATCTGACTCATCTGATGAAATGCCAGCAGAGATTTTCTGGAAGTTACAAACTCCTAAATTACCAGCTATACAGATTGAGGAAAACCATGAATCCAAGACCTGCAACAGAGATACAGAAGGGGCAAATTATGATCAGAAGCTGAGCAGTTCCTTTTATTTGAACACCAAGCCACACACTGCTTCCAGTAATGCTTGCAAACAGTTGCTGAAGGGAACAAAAGTCTCCTTTGTAGAGCAAGAAAGGTCTCCTGAAAGAAGACTGTATTATGCAAGTGGTAATCCTTTGCTTAATAATGATGCCTGGTCTTCCTGTGACTCAAAGGTTGACATCAGCAGCCCCAGAATAACAGCATCTTCTTCCCATGAAAACTTGGAATTTCAAGATGCTCATCTGTGCTCTTCGAGCAAACCAGAACTTTGGCTAAAGAAAGATGATCTAAAGCAGTCAGCTGCTGAGGTTTCTTTTGTGTGTGGCTCTAAGCAGATTCACAGCATTACTCACAGTCCACATCATGTAATCCAAATAAATTCAGTTTTCTCCTCTGATGCATTGGAAGTACCTTTACCTGAAACAACAACTGCAAGCAGGACTCCTGAGAGTGGATCATTAAATAAGATTTTAAAGGGATGGACGAACTCTAATGAAAATTCCTCCTTGGAATCTGCAAATATAAAGTTCTCGTTTGCTAGCTCAGTAGGACCAAGTTCCTCTTTTGTTCCTACTTCAGCAGAGCATGATTATTCTGAACATTCAAGGTCACACCATCCTGAACAAGAACAACTGGGGGAATTGTCTACTTGCAGGTCTGTTACTGAATGTGCACAAACCTTCAGCTGTTTGGAAAGCACCTCCACTGCAGGCTGCTTGTCACTGGTATCTAAGAAAGAGGAGAATTCTGTCACCGTGTTGCCTGTGCAAATTGTGGAGCAGACAAATGGCTGTGTAGATACAGGTTTAGAAGATGGCTTATTCCAAACTTTTTCAAAAGATGAGCTTGACAATGACTACAATAACTTGAAGTCAGAGTCAAGTGTGGCAGATTCAGGCAGTGGAAGCGCACATGTCAGTGAACCTGCTGCTCAGTGTTCTATGGGGCTTGCTCATAATATGACCTCAACACAGACATCTGCAGTAAAACACATCCAGTTTGGAAACTGTGGGCATCTTTTTCCAGTACAAAAAATACCAACATGTTGTGATGAAGGTTTCTTCCTCAGTGACTTAACAAACAAGAGCTGCTCTCTAGTGAGCAGTTACAAGCTTGAGATGCTGGCTGGACAAGGAGCAGAGTCAACTGATACAGAAGAACCCCCCAGGTCTGGGGAGAGTAATTTGGAAACCATGCAAGAAACAGATCATGAGCAAATACCTGCAGAAGTAACTGCAGAGACAGATTTTCCCTCACAGAAGGTAACATATCAATGTCACCCTTCAGTTGTTGCTGCCAGCACAAGCTATGACCAGTCTGCAACACCAATAGAGATGTCTCAAAAAGAGATAATCTGTATGGAAATAAGCACAGATAGCTTGGCAGACATTGTGCCAGAGGTGCCATCATTCACAGATCATGATGAATACATGTCAAAGGATGAAGACTTGTCTTCACTAAATCATTATGAATTCAAACATAAACCTGATTCAAAGGATTATTCCCCTGAATGTGCCCTAGCAGACAGTCAGGTGAGTTGCTTATCGCAGCAAATTTCAGAAAATTCTGCATTATGCACTGATAACATAAGAGAAGAAAGCAGTGAAAGCAAAGAACACAATGTACTGAATTCTCAGGCTGTAGTTCAGAAAGAATTTTCATCCAAATATGAAAACCTAGTGGTAAATGAAGGAAGTTATTTCCTACTGAATGTAAATGGGAAAAACACCAAGTCCTTTCCTGCTGCTATTTGTGAGAATACAAATTATTTTCTCCCAGAATCTAATTCAAGCCTATTTTACAAAATTTCAAAAAAAGCTAATCTTTTTCAAAGTGCATGTGAGACCAAAAATTATGATAAACTATTGGAGCATGTCACAATCGTGAAAGGAAATTGTGATGCTACATCTAATCTTACCGTGGAAGTCGGTGTCACAAAAAGTTGTTCTGATGTACATTCTGGCTGCCTCTGCCCAACATGCTCCTCAAAATCAACAGGACAGAAAAACACTGCACACAAGACAACTGACATTTCTGCAGAATTTGGTGCCTCTGTTCTCTCAGAAACAGAAACACGGAACAAATCTTTACTTGAATCTAGAGGGGAGGAAGAAGCATTTTTTGAAAGTGATTGCCCAGTGGACTTTCATGCTGAGTACAATGCAAATTCAGAGTTGGGAAAAGACTTTGAATGCAACACAAATGCATCAGCTGCCATTTCTCAAGAGGAGAGTTCTTGCAGAAATAAAGAATACAAAATTTTCAGAGACATAGAAATGGATGCAGAAGAAGCCATGGCTCCTTATCAGAATACAGGGACAGCCACAGACGAGGAAATAACAAAATCAATTAATACTGCAAGCAACTTAGAAAAAAGTGCATTGGAAATTAAATCCAGACACACTGAAAGTTTACCTGACAGACCAGCAGCCCAAGTCCAAAGTATAACTGAAGACAGTAAAAAGGATTTTAAAGACATTGGTCTAACTCAGAACCCAAAGAAATCTACTGATATCACAGCTTGTGAAGTTCACTGTGAGTTTAATACAAATCTGTGCCTGAGACATGAAGAGGTGCACAAAGATGAACTGCAGGAAGCCGTCACAGGGGCAGAACATACTCAGGAATCAAAAGCGCTTGTGCATTCTGGCAGCCAACCTGAAACAAGCAGCTTTTGCCAAAAAGAAATAAGTGAGAAAACAGAAATAGGTATTTATTCAACAGAGCTTTCTGTTGCTCCCAAAACCACTCCTTCATCTGTGTGTTCCCACACAACAGATGTTATTCAGAATACTTTGGGATTCCTTGATACTTGCAAAGGGTTTTTACAGATGAATGGAACAGCAGAGAATGTAGCTGAAACAGTACTAATCCCAAGGAGGCAAGGAAATATTTCAGCAAAACCTGAAAATGAAGGACAAATAAATTCTAACAATATAATTGAGCATTGTGTACCAAACTGTTTGCCCCAGGAAGACAAGGTTAATGAATGCGAAGTGACTGGGAGTGAAGAACAAATGACCATGACAAACCCTGAGGAGCTGGTTAGTATGGGGCAAAAAGAGTTATGCACAGATGAAAATGTTTACTTTAATGAACAGTCTCCAGCTCTGCGTCAAGTGTACTGTGACAGAGGTGACACAGAAGAAATTTTAGATCAATTTAAGATCCCTGAAAGGTACCTGATGGCTTCTGAAGTAGAATCAAATATACTGTTAGGGGATGATTCAAGATACCAAGACCCTACTGAAATGAGTGAGGATGGTGATTCAGTGGGCTCTGCTACAGAGATAGGAAATGTAGTTGATGCATATGAATATTCAGTTAAAGATAGTGCTAATATTGACCAATACAGAACTAAACAAAAATTTACAAGTCTTGACAGACATACATGTATGAGTTTCTCTGTGGGATCTCCTGACCATGGCACTTCAGAAAACTTGAACGACGATATTGTTAGAAAAAGTTTTGACATTTGTGAATTGGATCAAGTAGGCTCCAGAGCTGAGGAGGAGACAGTGCAATTGATGAAGCTAGTAGAAATGGCCAAAGCAGACAGAAAAAAGCAGATACATGTAGCAAACACAGAGGATGTAGATGTGATCTTTTTACAAAACCTGGATGAACTCTTCTCCGAAAACAAAGGCAGTTACCAAATGACACATGATGACAGCAGATTAAATGAAATATTAAGAGAAAGCCAGTGGGTGTCTACCAGCTTTTCTGGAAATAATGAAGACATTAGCCAGCAACAAAATCCACCAGCATCACAGACGTGTACAGAAAAAAACCAAGAGCTTCAAGACTCCCCATGTCAGTCTATAAATCAGCATTTATATCTTGGAGGAAGTGATGATTCCCATCTTGTTCAAGATGCTCCCACTGCACTGAGAGGATGTACAAAACCATCTAACAGCAGTCTTGGAACTGGAGCTGTTCTGCCTTACTACAAGACGTTAATGGAGAGTGAGATCAGTGTTGGTACATCTGTTGCAGCCAACAAAATGGGAGAAACAAACAAACATCTTCCAGCTAAAACACCAAGTAAGAGTGTACCTCTTCTGCAAACCAGCACCATGCAGCAGAGGCAGGAGGAAGAATCCTTTGTATTTAAAAATGGACCTGATTATGCCATATCTGCACAACCTGTCCATGAGAACAGCTCTTTCACTCCCTACAGTGCAGATGGCCTTGAGTGCGGAACTGTTGTACTTCAGCAAAGGGCCAAGGGAAGCTCATTTTTCTTGGAAAAATTAGATTCTTCTGAAGATATCATACAGGATATTAATAATGTTTGTGAAGAACACGGTATGAATTTCATGGTTAATGAATTATTAAAAGACTGTCCTAATTCCATAGAAGATACAGCTCAAGAGGTAAAGGATACCATTGTGCCTGATTCACTAATGTTGGATACTTCAAATCTGCTGTCTTCCTCAAAAGAAGAAGTGATGGAAGATGTAGGGGTGGGAAAATCCCACTCTTTACTAGAAAGCTCCACCCAAAAAATATTTCAGAATATTAATACAACTCAGATAGTACCTCACTTGGGGGCTTCATCAGTGCATGATGAGAAGACATTTTTAAGTGCAAGGTATCCAACAGCAAACAGTAAATGTGAAAATGCCGAGTTTCCCAGTGTAGTGGGTTATCAGCACGAGCCCACAGAAAACCAGGAGCATGAAGCTTCTGAAGAGTGCTGTGTAGACCAATCAGGCAATGCTGCTTCTGAGAATTCTTCAGCCCTTTCAGAAGGCCTGAACAAATCTCCAAAGGAACATCCACATTATAGTAAAGACTTTCTAAATTACAATAGGAACTTGGACACTTCTGAATGTTCTCCTGGTCTTCTAAATTGTCCAGCACCAACTGCAGATAGTTTAATTGTCAGCAGTGGAGACAAAGGTATAAATAATAATGTTCTCTCTGAAGAAACAAAGTACTTTGAAAGTGAATCAACAGATTTGAGTGTATCTGTAACTTTTCCTGGTGTTTCTCAAAAAGGAGACAAAAAGGAAAATAACTCCGCAGTTGCAGAGACCAGATATGCTCAGAGTAATAAACTCCCTGGAGAAGTTGTGGAGCAAAAGGAGGAAATGGTTCAAGGTTATTTCCAGAACTGTGGTGACATAAAAGAAGATAAAATTCATGAGTTCTCAGAACACTGCAGTAACACTAACAGGGTGACTGTACCAGAATCGGGTCTGCTCAGTTTCCAGAGCCAAGGACAGACTGGCTGTAATGAATCAAAGTCTCTGCCATCACACTCTGCAGAAGAAACTGCCCCTGAGACACCATTTCAAAGCTCCAAGAACTTCAGGGCTTTTACCACATCTTCTTTACTTGGGGACTCAAAATCTCTAGTATTTAATCAGCTTGAGGACTCATTTCAGGACAGCTGTTTGACTGAGAAAGTGTCCTGCAATTCTGAAGATATGTGCTCTGTAAAAGGAGATTTTCCCCTATCATTAGCAAGAGTCAATTACCCAGCCTTAACAGCATTTTCAGAATTTCCTTCAACTGCAGATATAGGTCATGATGAAACTAGCACATATGATACTTCACATTCAAATATATTGAAACAGTCTCCATTTGGTGTTTTGCAAATACAAGACACGCAGTCAGATAAAGCTGTGGTATTTGATGAGCCAATATGTGCTTCGGGAAGTATTTTACTTTCTCTTGCAAAAGAAAACAGGCATTTTCCAGTCTCAGACATAGACTGTACTTCATATGAAAATTCTGCTATAGATAGGGAACCTGCATACAGAAGTAATAATAAAAAACCTGACAGTGATACAGAAATTGATCAGCATTATTGGGATAAAGTTCCACCACAAGAAGCTTGCAACAAACACATAGAGAAAATACCAAGTGATAATTCTCTTTTACTACCATCATTACCTTTTTGGGATACTAGCAGGACAATTCTTATTAAAGAGGGACAAATGACAAATACACTTAACAGAAGTAAGGAAGAGCTGCATTCAAATATTGAGGCTGAACATTTTGCAGTAAAGACAGAGCAGAGAAAAATGTTAAGTAGAGAACCTGCTGAAAAGCAAACTAGTGTATCCTCAAATTCTCCAAATGAATTAACAGGCTCAGCAGTTACAGTGTTGGAAAATCTGTATCCAAGAGATGTTCAAGTGGATCCTGAATACACCTGCAATTCATTTGGTCAAGCATATCCCACATATGGAAGCCCTGATCCCAGGCAACCATATCACACTGCCTTGGGTTTTGAAAGAAACCCTGCAGATCTGCAAGTTAACTGTCAGTATGTGCCTGCAGGTGAACATATAGAACAGGTGCCAGACAGAACAAATGCAGATGGTAGAAAAGAGATTTTTCTTTGCAAAAATAATACATGTTCAAGCATTGATAGCACTGATGCTGAGGCGAACACTTGTTCAACAATGGGAGACACTACAATGAGGAATAATACCCTGAAATTAGAAAGACTCAATTTTCCTGTAAAAAATAATGAAACATCCTCCATAAAGGTTTTGCCAGAAAACCATGATTTAACTCTTCAAGAATCCAAATTGGTGCAACTCAGGAGCAAAAGATCATATTCTACCACACGGAGTACAAAGGGCTGTAAACAGAGTGAACTGAGACCTTATTTACGAAGTCACAGAGTATCAGCTCCAGCTATTGCTGTTTTCTCTGACACAGAATGTACTTTGGAAGCTTCATCTAAGGCAGATTCTTTGTTGTATTCTGCATCTAAATCACTGCAAGATTTGAATATGAGTGTAGAGCCTCCGTCACCAACTGAAGATGATCTTTATGGAATTGAAAGATTTTCAAAGCAGGAATCGAAGAACTTATTGCAAGTTAAATCTAAACCAAGATTTCAGCCAAAAATGGCGCAAATGAAAAAGCTTGCAAACTGTGATCCCAAAAGCTTACAAAATTTAACAGCAAGAAGCCAAAGTAGCCAGTCTTTGAAAGATTGTACTAGTCAATCTCCATCATCCTTACTGCCCACAGCTCGCAGTTCTGTGTGTGCAGAAGCAAATGTCCATTCAAAGAGCAATTCTGTAGCTCAATGTAGTGAAGGGGAAGGAGAAGAAGCTGGATACCAGCCAGAAACTGATTTATTTTTGCAAGATAATAAAGATGCAATGCATTTTAGATCAAGTGATATCAACCCATACATTCACCCATGGCAACAAGATGGAGCCTGCAAGATTGGCTGGAAACAGTATGCTTTTGGAAGTGCAAGTGATGTCTCTTGCAATCAAATTCCTTTGAATATGGAAAATCGTAAAGTTATGAGATGTTCCAGTGTAGACAATGGATTGAACTCTCAAAATTCTCCTTTTCGTTCTCATCTAAGTTCATATGCTACAGCAAAAGTTTTGTCAAGCACTTTGAGTAGCATTGAAGGTCTTCAAGAATGGGACAGTGTCAGACAAGACTTTAAATCAGCGTACTCAAGTGACAGTACCAAACAGTACAGCAACATATCCAGCGAAACACTGGAGACTAACTCAGAAAACAACACTGCTGAACTTGAGAATCCTTCCACACTACCTGGTAACTCTTCAATGCAGGTTGATGAAATTGTACTATTGTATCCTTCAGAGTCTGAAAAACCTTCCAATAAACCTCCAGGGATTACATGTGAGCAAGGAACACAAACTGCAACTACAGGAAGGTATAAAAGGCAGAGAAGACATCAGAGAAGCTATACAGATGTTTCTGCAAAAAAGGAGGAAACAAACAGAGATTTATTTTATCAACCTTCTTCTTGGACAAGCATGCAAAACCTGTCCATGCATCTGTCACAGCTACTTCAGAACACTTCTGAGTTGTTGGGAAACCTTTCCCAACAGAGTATTATAGACAGTGAGCAGAATGCCAAAATCAGCCAAAAAAGAACTGAAGGTGCTGTTAGGTCTGATAGCTGTACTCAGACTACAGCAGATGTCAGCACTCAGACTGAGATTTTGGAAAAACCTCAAAGCAAACATGAAGAAAAACAAGTGGAGGCAAAAATGGGAAAGGAATTGAGGGCAGCTCAGGCAGTAAATGTTGATAGGAAAAAAATTGGTGCAGATGTAGTAGGAGAGATTCCCAAAAGGAAAGAGGAAACACTCACTCTTGAAGAAAGTACACAAGAACAAACAGGAATGAAACGCCTGGGCAATTCTGACTTCCATGACAGTCTTGACAGCATTTTGGAAGACTCCTTTATGCATCTGCCTTCTTTACCCAAAACTTCCACCCCTATCTTACATTTTCAAAAAACATCACTAAAGGCACAGCAGAATGTTGCTTTTGCTAGCACCAGAGTTTCACCTCTCACACCATCTTTGCCAAGTTCAGGGCAAGATGGTTCTTCATGCACTGTAGTTAGCAGCCCTACTAATAGCACCTCTCAATCTCCAACGTCTTGCACTCAGGATAAAAGAAGTGTCAATGAAACAGAGACTCCAGCTGAAAGAAAATTTTGGTACAAAAATACCCTGCTAGTCGACAGGGCCTCTTCCCCTATTCTTACTCTTAGTGCTAGTCCCAGCAGCCAGACTGCTTTTAGCAAGTCTGTCTGCCCTACTAAAGAACCTCTTGGATATTCCAGTGTTGCTTCAAGTCCCCTTCACACCAAGAGAAAGCTGAGGGCAGGTCCACAGTTCAGCATGCAACATCATGTGGACAATTTTTCACAGACAGAAACAGACAGTGAATCAAGCATCTCTAGAGAACACAAGAGCATAAGAAAGAAATCTGGAACTTTCTCTGATAAGAAAGCAGGCAAAGACCTTTTAGGGCAGGATGGTTCAAAAGACTTGGAACAGCAACATAGGCTGAGGGTTGACACCCACACTACCATTTGTGCAGAGCGGCTGTATCACTCCAGCAGTATGCTGGAGGTGTCAGGCCACAGTGAAGTGGTAACAGGTGATGTCAGAGACCAGGGCTCCGTGGCACATTCCCTTCATTGTATGTATGTTACAAGGGGTGGAAGAGCTCCTTCAGGTGGAATCAGGCACGAAAAGTACTCTGGGAATTCTGATACTGCTTTGATTCACAACTACCCTTCTCCAAATGCTGACTTACTTTTTAATCAAAAAATTAGTGCCACTTGTTCAAGTAAGAAAAATGCTGGCACAGCCTCAGAACCTCTGGTAGGAGCATCTTCTGTACAATTTCATGATTTCTTCTGGAAGAGTGAGGAAAGCTGCCCTCCTCCACTTTCTGATGTGAGCGACGTGCAGACATCCTTCCAAGATGACAGTACAGAATCGGTCACTGGGAGTGAATGTGACACCGAAATCCCTCTCAGCAAGAACTCTGCTTCTGCCAAGCCCTGCAGGCCTCGGAGCTACAGCCTCCGTGACTTACCCATACACAACAAATTCAGCAACTGGTGTGGTGTAAAGAGCAGCACTCCTCCTTTTCTCCTCGGCTTGAGCGGCAGCGTGACCGATTTAAGGGGTCAGGCAGACAAGAAGCCTGGAAGCACACAATCAACAGAAGTGGAAGGGAATTACCAGTCTTGTGACAGCAGGAGCAGAGAGATCAAGAGACTTCAGAGAGAGCGTGCCCAGATCATGTCCAGCATTCACCTGGATCTGCATCAGCATCCCCTCACAGTGGAACTGACTGAAGCAAAGCTCAATTATGGCATTGGGGAAACAGATGCCCTGCTGAAGGTCCTTCAGAGAGGAGCTGCAGATGAGCCAGGGTCAATTCCAGTGAAGCAGCAACTTTATGAAAGGTAAATTACTTTATGTACTGTTGTTTAAAGTATTTTTAATACACTTCATGCAGCTTAAATAGCATTTAATAATGAGCCAATCACTTAGTCACACTGAATGTGAAGAGATACACTATCAGGATTATATTGAAAACTTTTAAGCAATGCATTTAGGACAATATTTTGGGGTTACTCCAAGAACACAAGGAAAAGTGATTTGGTGCAATTCAAATCTAGTGTTACCTCACTCTTAAAATTTCTAGCAGCCACAAGAGTTATCCTGTGTACCTGGTGATGTGGGAATATTTTTAATTGATTTATTGCGATGTAAAAATGATTGATACATCCTATTTATGGAAATATCCCATTCATGCTTCTGCGAATAAATGCTGCTGTATGAATAAACAAAAATAATTTTAACCTCCCCATAAATATACAAAATAATTTTTTTTAAAAAACAAGATTGATTCTTGTGATTGTAGAACATTTTAAAAAAGCAACTTGATTCTTGTGATTGTAGAACATTTGGGAAAATATTGCAACAAAAATTTTGAAGCAGCTACATCAGTCTTCATTCACAATTTTCCTCTCAGTTGTTACCAGCAGTAATCACAACCCTCTCTTGCATTTCCTGCTGTCAGAAAAGCAGTGGCATTTTAGAATTTCTACCTCATCTCTCAGCATGTAGACAAAGAGGTATCAGATTCCTAGAAAATTTTACATTAAAAATTTACCTAATACTTAAGTGCTTAAAAAAATCAGAAAATGTAACTTTGCAGGGTGATTTGTCACTCTAATCACGTTTCTCTAACAGACACATGAGAACTATTGAAACTCTGAGGAAGGAAAGAGTAAAAAGGCTCCAAAGATACCAAAGAAGCCGAAGCCTGAGCCCCCTGAAGCATTTGAGTCTGTCCCAGACTCTGGATGCAAGTCAGAGGGATCCAGATCTCCCCAGCAGACGCCGAGAATATCTGCAACAGCTGAGAAGAGATGTGGTGGAAAACACCAGGTGGGGCATTGGAAACCTCCCTTTAGTCCTGCTGCTCATGAACAGTGTTCACAATGGGTGCACATTTATGGTTCCTGCTGACACCCGAGACTTCAGGGGCAGAATTCTTCTCAGTGTGGGTGCATTCACCTTTGGGCTAGAAAATGCTTTCAGGAAAAACACATGCCTGATTTTAGAAAACATTCATTAAAATATTGGATCTAGTTTTATTTCAGGCCATAACAAGTGTCTAATTTATTATATGTGTATGATGGATGGGGATAGCCAAGTATTCTCTCTGGACTGACTAGAGACCAATCTTGCTGTGATTTAGTACTAAATTGGTATTCTTCAATTTTGTACTTCTGCTAAAATCAGTGCTGCTTCCCCTTCCCCTCCAACTGGAGGTAGGAAAGGTAAAGATCATGGGTTGAGATAAGAACAATTTACTGGAAACACCAATGCGATAAAAAAAAGAGCAGCAACAGCAACAGCATTAATAACAAAATATATGAGAAAAGAAATTACTCAAACTGGAGTAATTTCAGCCCCCTGGCAATAGACAATATGGGATGGCTCCCTCTGCCACATCTCAGCTGGAATGAACCCCTTCTGCCAGAAGAGCGCCTTTCCCCTACCACAGCAATGATGTGAGGTGGTACAGAATAACCTCTGTGCCCTGGCCATGCCTCCTCCCAGCAAAATTAGCCCTGGCAGGAACCAGAACGCTCCTTCACTAACTTAGAAGCCACAGAGTTCAGTTTAATTTTAAATATCAGAAAAACTCTGCAACACTTCACTTTTTAAAATTTCTGTTTCTCGTTTCCCACAATATTCCCTAAATGTTTTGCTTCCTTTGTGGTCAGGAGACAGTTATTTTCCCAACACAATAATCTTGTATGTGATTTGCCAAAGCCATAACCTTATATCATAAGGCGACCTGGTTAGGAAACCACTTGTAGTAATCTCAGTAGTAATTGGACTTGCAATCTGAGTAATTTTCCAAGGCTTATGTCTACTTAGCCTTTAGTGAGCAAAGAAAAGCTTTTGGGAGGCTAATGTGGTGGGGTTTAATTGCTTTTCTGGCAGGTTTTCCTGTTCTGAATTGAAATATGATTTTCTCATGGTATTTCAAGTAATTATGTGTGTTTCCCATTACTTGTCCATCCTTACAGAGTTCAAGAACCAAAAAGAAGAAGCATTCAGCACCCTTCAGACATTGAACTGCTGCTCCGAGACTATCAGAGGGCACGAGAGGAAACCAAAACTGAAATTGCAAGAGCTAGGGACAAACTGAGGGAAAGAGCAGAGCAAGAAAAAAGGCGGATACGGGAACAAATACTTTCTCAGTTACAGAAGGTGAGCATTATGTTGAAAGTATACATAGTCTTGAAGTTCTCAGGATTTTCTTTGTATGTAATTTTTACTTGGTCTTCTAGCATTGAGTAGTTGCACTGGTAAAGTAAAATCTTCAGTCTTTAACAACTGTATTTGATCAGCAAGTTAAGTCAGGGGCTTGAGAAGTAGACAAAGAGCAACAAATGGGACTGAAAAGATATCTTTCTATAAACCTTCTTCCTCTTAAAAGCATCCTAGCATTATTTGATAGTCTGAACTCTTATATGTGAAGAAAACAGCAAAAGCTGCATTTTCCCAGACTGCCAAGTTCTACAGGACTATTCACTCTATGGTTTATATGATCCTAGGCTTTCAAAAAAACCTGCTTATTTAATGCTTTCTGTATGGCAAGTTTGTGTCAACACTTCTTGGAAGAAACTGGATTTCTTTAGATTCCTCTTTCAACTTTCAGTGCTGGGGTTTTTTGGTGTTGTTTTGTTTTGCTTTGTTTGCAATACTGAGATTCCTATTACAGGAAGAAGCGAGACTGAAGACTCTTGCAAGTACGAGCACTTTATGTACAGACTCCAGCCTCAGCCTGTCCTCTGGCCCAACATCTGGTTACAACAGCAGTAATACTGCCACATACACCGCAAGTCACTTCAGCAGCCAGGAAGGGCAGGTGAGAAACCCCTGCTGGGTGAGACTGATGTCCCCTGGTGCTTCAGGCACAGAGCTATCGTGTAGGAACAGAGATGGTTTTCGACATTATTTGAATTCTGTCACAGCTATGAAGCAGCACAAGTTTGCAGTACCAGTACATAGAGGGATGACATGGGGCAAGGGAGCACTTTGTAATGTAATTGCAAAGGTCAGTGACACTTATTTTGCAGGGAGTTTTTTTTGTAGTTCATGGATGAAAAAATCAGATAGTTACTACTGCCTATGTAACTGTCAGAAATCTGTCAAATGTTTTAGAAATGTTTTAGAAAATTTATTCTTGTGATAAATCTGATGGCATCTGATATTCTGAGTGACACCCTCAGTGATACATGCATTGACTTGAGTTTCCATGTGTGAAAATGGATTTTCCTGAAGTCACTTCTGCAGTATGCACCCATGCTATTTCCTTACACTTGTTTTGCTAAATTGCCCAAGTTAAAGTATCATTTCATAACTAGGGGAAAGGCAAAGGGGTTACCTCACGATAAAGAGAAGCTTCCAGCCTTGTAAGGCAGATTTGTTACTAATATTCCACCGCCTATGTAACACAAATTATTTTTCCCACTTCAAATGAACATTCCCACTTCTGCACTTTCTTAAACCAGGTTTCTTCTGGAAATACTTTGGTTACAAGGAATACACGAGGTCGCTCAGCTGTTAGAAATAGTCAGCTTTATACATTAGAACAATTGCATAAGGATTCAACATTTGGTAAGTAAAACATACATTTGCTTCTTTTGAGTTTTGCATTCCAGAGCCTAATGAGATTTGTCATTTATGCAAATCAATTTGAATCTGGATATTGCAAGGACACCCCTACCTTTACATTAATTCAGAAAAATATCACCAACCACTAGCCAGATCTTGCTTAGAATTTCTTTAAATATTAAATGGTGACTTGCTTCCTCTGAAGCTGGTCTTTTGATGTGGTAACATCAAAGTACAGCTTTTTCAGATAATATGAGGATAATATTTTGAATGAAGGAAGGAAGCAAGGGGTGTGGGGCCCGAATCTGTAATGAGTATAGAATTTTAAAAGCAAATTCTTATTTTTAGCCTCAAGAGTTAAGCTGTCTATTTTTCCTAATTTTATTTTCTTACATGTGGCAATAACTGTTTAAACTGACAGATATAACTGTAGTGTAATTACCAACACACAGAATGTCGAAGCAAGGGATGTTATCACTCCTTCATTAGGATCAGATGGATTGGGGGTTCCACTGGAGAGTTTAAGTCCCTACAATTTAAGAAGAGTGTTGGGGTTACATTTTAATTTTTTTGTTACCTCTCTGGCTTTTTTTTTCCTGCAGAAGCCAGCAAAATTCAGCCACCTCTTCCTTCAAGTGGCACCAGCTGTAGGTTCACTCATGGATTAACAATTTCTGTCAACTCCTCTTCAACAAAAGGATACCAAGATTTATCCAAACATATCTTGGCTAATGCTACCACTGAAGTAAGTAAAAACAGAGTTTTCACTTATTCCTTCTGGAAGTTGTAGCAAAAATGGGTGGGACAAGTCTTGTCCTACATCACAAACAGTTATCTCTTTGTCAGGTACAGACACACACACTGAACAATTTTGAAAGATGGGTGAAAGTGAGCCAGGCTGTAGCCAAGGGGTGCAGAAGAGAGCGTGGGGTGTTAGCTGGAATGTTTGAGTGAAGCTCGTGTCATTTGTCATTGTTTTCTAAGGTAATGGCAGCATGCTCTCAGAACCTGAGGAACCTCTACACGTGCCAAGCAGCAGCAGGGTGGAAGTAAGTTTATGGCAGCTCTGTGTCAGGGGAGGCCTTTCTCTGCACCTGGCCCTCTTGAGGGCAAATACCTTTTGTTTGCCTTTGACAGATACCAGTGTACAGAAAAAGAGGTGCAGGTGTACTACAAAGCCTTTCCTTCAGCAACAAGACATGGATTTCTGGGAGCAGGAGTGATAGAAAGGCCTCTTCCCTTTGTGTGGGGACTGGTGAGAGATCCTGTCAAGAGGCATCTCTATGACAGCTCTATCAATACAGCTCAAATACACAAGAAGGTAACCAGCCACATCCACCTGGGTGAGTATCCTCACATGTAGCACATGACAACCACCAGCACCATCCTGGCTGGATGTGCTGCCAGGAGGAAAGTTAAAGGCTTCTTGTTCCATTTCTTCAGGTCTAAATAAACAATTTCATTATTTAATATGGGAGCTTCAGCTCTGCAAGACTTTTCCAAAGCTGATATTAAACACATCTTGCTGTGAAGTGCAGGTAGAGACAGTGGTTTGAAAGTAAAGATAAACCTGAAGTAGCTTGAAAAAGCATTTTAAATATGTATTATAGCATATGAACTAGAGTTCTGCTCCCAGGAAGCAAGTCAAAATAAAATATGTATCTCCATGTAAGGTGTGGGGAAAATTGTGACAAGTTGAAGTCATCAAAGTCTAATTCCCCTTCCTTATTTTTTTTTCCCCCAGTATATATAGTGACTGATACCTCCCTGTGTTACCTAAAGCAGCCCCGGGATTTCTGCTGCATTACTGCAGAAGCCAAAGAGGTAAAGTGAACATTCTGTCTGCAACACAGAGGAGTTGTTTTGATATCCTGGTTAAAGGAAAAAGGAGAGAAAGAAGTCAATCTTCAAATCTGCAGGAGTGCCAGTGTAGCAGGAAGGAAAGACATGCCAGCATCACACAAGTGAATTATGTGTAAAACCCTCTTGTGAATGACAATGGCCAACCAAGGCCCATCAGAGTAACACAAGTGTCACACAGTATATTCTGGTTGCAAACACACAGGATTTTGACAAAAGCATTTAATAGATAAGAGAGTAGTAATTTTTCATGTTAAGTAAGCAATGTGAGAAATATGCCTTGTGGCAAACAAAGAAAACATTGCTATATTTTTCAAATTGTCATCTTTACACCTTGTCATGTGCAGGAGAACTTGTCTGTCCTGGCTTTTCAGTCTGTCTATGATGCAGCCATGCCTCAGCCTTGTAAAGAAGCAGTGAGAGGGGAGATTTTGCCAAGTGCTTGGATACTGGAACCTGACATAGTGAATGGAAGAGAGATCACCAGAGTTATTTACATGGCACAGGTAAGGATTTTTCTTTACGTCCAACTTTGAATGCAAAAAGCTCTTACACAGCAGAACACTTAAGAGCTGGTAAGCAACAAAAAACACAATCATCATGTTATGCTCCATGAACCTTATGAAGTGACCACAAAGTCACCTCTTTCACACTTCTCAATGCAGAGACTCTTACTAGGATTGTGTTTAAGAACACATTCCCAAGCTTTTACAGCATTCAACGCTGCTTCCTTGGATATCAAGCTCTTCTGTAAAGATTTATTAGCAATTTTAGTATATGCTGTGCTCATGTGGAGAGCCAATATGGGGAGTCTCGTTTGCATTTTCACCTTGCTGTGGACACAGGAAGTCCACCTTGGGTTAAACTATTTTCAAAATCCCTGAAAATATTTGGTGCATTTTTCTAACCAAAGTCTTTAATTCTTCACACTTAATAGACACAAAAGAGAAGTCAAGATTAGGATTCCAGTTTAAAATAAGAAAATTATAATCTTATCATCTATTTTTTAGACTTATTTGAAAAGTAGGCTCACTTCGAGGCAGGGGTACTAAGTATTTAAAAATGTCCAGAAGAGCATGTTTTAATGTATAAAATTTATTTAAATGCTTATGTAGCAATAAATTCCATTAGTCCTTTAAACTCACCTATTTAAAACTTAAGAAACATTTTTTAAAATATCATTAATTACCACACGGATTTTATAATGCATAGGTGAAATTTATATATGCATTTAAAAGTTTTATATGCATTTTATGCATATATGCATATGCATTGCCCTTTGGTGTATGCACACACATTTTCAGCAACACTGTGTGTTTCAAACTAGTAAACTTTAATCCAAGCTCAAACTCAAAAGCAATGTGGGTCATACCTGCGAGAAGCAACATGGAATAGCAAAGTTTTGCAAGTCTGTGGAGCGTTGGGAAGAAAAAGATACAAACCACACCGCAATAATGGCATTTGGGTGTTAACTACTTTTGTGCCCAACGCATCCTCATTAAATCAGAGCGGTTCCAGACTGGAGAAGTGTTCTGCTTAAAGCAGGCACAGACTCCACGCTGCAGCCTTTCCTGTAATCCCTGCAGGTGGACCTTGGTGCCCCGGCCATCCCCGCCAGGCTCCTGAGCTCTGTGGCGAAGCGGCAGCCCCTGGTGATCGCTCAGCTGGCTCACCTGCTCACTGCTTAGTGCTGCTGCACCGCGGGCACTGAAGAGCTCCTGACAGCTCACAGGGACACACGGGCGTCAGAAAGCGCCATGGAAAATGCTGCCTCCTGAGGCAGCCACCACCACGCCTCACTTCAGGAGCCTGGTTGCTACTGCTGGACTCTATGGAAGTGCAGTTAGAGAAAAGGATCATTTGTTTTAGCCAACACCACTTATAAGAAATGCAGCAAGTTTAGTGGGGAACATCTTCTCCTGGAAACAGCAGTGGAAAACCTCCATGAAAGAGAAGAAAGGTATACTGCTCTATAAAGAGCAGAGGAAGATACCTTGCCTTACAATAGCCAGAATCATACAGCATATTACTTAACTCCTGTTTCCAAGCAGCTTCAGAGATCAACTTCTTTAAGTAAGTTTAGCCTGGAAGCAGTATCTGTATGGCTTGAGACCTTTTACCAGCTCTTAAGCAGAGCTGCAAAGCTACTTTCTAATGATAAGTACCAAATGCAGAATTCCTGACTGTGTAGCTAAATCATTTATCTTAGCTGGCTGCCTGCTCCCTTCCCTTTGAAGAGGGAAGTCAAAGCAGCGCAATATGCACTAGTCATCCTACACCCTGGATAGATTTTTCATGAATTTTCTGACTGCTTGCAGCCAGTGTAAGGTGTTTCAGATTGCCACTACACTAAGCAGCATCAGTAGACACCATCATACCTCAGGACACAGTTTTACTGTACTGCAGAATCAGGTGCTTTCAAACAAAGAAACCAAACCGTTCTACACAGTGACACTGTCACAGATAGGTTAGTACTCAGTAATCAGCTTGTTCCTAGAATTTAAGTCCTGCAAGTAAGAGTAGCTCCAACACTTTTCCATAATGCCTTTTCCCATCGGCCCTTCTACACTTGCACCCAAATGCATTAGGATCTGAAAATATAGCCTGGTCAGTCTTACCACACTTTGTTCATAATGTGACCAGCTGTCTCACTGTAGCAAATACAGACTCTTCCCATTCAATTACCTCATGGGACTTCTGTGGCACTTAGTCCAACAATGCTGCTGTCAGGCTTTACATGTTTGTTCAACACAATTCCCTAGCTGGTTCACATGTTCCTAAATTTAAGCAAAACCACAACCACCTCAAATATCCAAATACCTTCATTTAATTCTTCAGCACAACAGTACAGAATCACTTTAGATATATCTAAGCAATAAAAGCTGCTGTGTTATGCTTTCATTAGCTCAAAAAGCCCACATTGTTCAAGAAGGTCTTGCACTTCGAATTTGTCAAGTGAGAAATGTGTACTCAAGCATCCACCCCACTGCAGCCAGTGCCTGCTACTTTCACACCATTACTTTCAATATAAGGTGAGTTTTCCCAGCACATGGTGAAGTTAGCTGCACTTCCCACCTTTGAGTTCAAGAGCCAAGATCTACTTTTACTCTATTTTTGCACAGGTGTAATTTTGGCTCTCAGCTTCTATGTTACTTCCTGTTACTAATATAGTGAGTTTTAAAGGAAAAGACCATAGCTATTTTGATTTGATACTTAAAAATATAGCAGTTTTGATACATACCTGCCCAAGGCTTCCTTCTCTAACTAGATCAGGGAGGCTGACAAAAGTTTTTACTTACAAATTTGCTTTGTTTCATCCTTGGCTAGTCATGGCTACAATCTTAACACCAACATATTAGTGTTCTCTTTTTGGTGAGGTGCAGCCTTTTGCTAAAAGCCTGAGTCACAGCATGGTTCACTTTGAGCATCACACATCTTGCAGCCCCTCAAGGAAGAATGGGTAAGCTGTCACAGTTTTCTGCAACTGAGCAAAATGAGATTTCCAGATTTGTAATGTGTCAATGTCCTCCCTTCAGTGGAAACCCAGAAGGAAGAGCAGACAAGGCAGAACAGTAAAGCCCCAGGAAAAATGAGCAGAACCAGCAGCATGGGATATTGGCTGTCTCCCCAGTGCTGCTCCTGTAGCTTTCCAGAGGAGATAGGGGAGGTCTTCATACAACCCACAACAGATTTGTTCAGCGCTTTGCTTTTTTTCCCTTTTATTTTGGACATGGCACTAGTGATAAAGCAGGTTTTGTAGGAAAAACATCTCGGGGGACTCCTGTTGATCAATGATGCCAGTGCCTATGAAGGATAGTGTCTTATTGTACAGTGCATCAGATGTTTATTTTTATATATACTTAAAATTTTTTTTCTACGTTTACAGATTAAGTTATTTATATATGCTTGGTTTGAAGCGTTTTTATATGCTATCAAAGCTAAGTTTTATTTTTATCAGTATTGTAACTTTTTTTTAATACAGTCTTCAATTGATACTAAAAAGCCTATTTATATGAATGTTTTCTTTTGCAAATACAACATTTCTTGGTACTTGCTAATGTATGGCATCGGTTTGTTTGGAAGAAAGAAACAAAGGCCCAGCAGATATCAAATTTGTTTCTCTACAACAGGCAAAAACCAATTTCCTGTAAGTTACTGCTGAGCAGCGGATGATCAAACCAATTATATTGTATCACCTACGGTTGCATCTCTGCTCTTAAATCAAGGTTGCTATTTTCATATCCACAATAAATGGTATTTTCTACACAAGAAAATGTGCCCCACCTTATTTTGCTCCAGCTAAGATACCCATCTATGGAACTATGCTGGATAGAAAATCAACACAAAGGCAAGTTTGTGATAACAGATGTAGGTCTCCTACTTACCTGCTGAGGAATGAGCATGGAATATGAATTTTTGCCACAGGAATCAAGAAGCCAGTCACTGCTTAAATTGGGGTTCTGTGACAGTGCTTTCTCCAAGCAAAGGGGGTTTTGTTTGGTTATTTAAAAAAAAAAAAAAAAGTTGTGTGAAGCTTCTTCCTGGCTCCTGTTACACAACTCCCCAGACCAGCACATTCAGAAGGAAGTTAATATAACACCATTTTTCCTAATTCTCTTTTGAGATCTTTGAGTTTGCAATAGGAAAGACTGGCAGAAGAAAGGCCACACCCTCAGAGCTGGCTTTCAGTGAGCTCCTGCTCTGCTGCCTGCAGCACCTCTGGCACCAGCAGCAGTGCCCGGAACAGAGGGACTCACACAGAGAAAGCCGCCAGCCCGGGGGGCTGCAGGGCCGTGTCCTCACACATGGTCCCAGGCAGAAAAGCTGTGCTGCACCCTGCCCCTGGGCCTTGGATACAGAGCGAGGCACCTGGTGTTACACAGCAAATCTGCCTGGGGCTGTGGATGCCCAAGAACCAGCATCACTGCATTAAGCCATAAGAACACAGAAACAGGGGCATTTCTTACCTGCTGGTCCCACTGCACAACTGTCTCCAGCCCCATAGGGCACAACTGTGTTCTCTGGTTGCTGCAAAGTGCTCCTGGGGCTTGGTCACCTTTTAAATAAAGAGAAGGATAATTCCAGTATGCTGAGTTCATGAAGATGACTGTGGCATAGTAGCTATGCAAACAGTTTCATAACAACAAAAAAAAATCCATGCCAGAACCAAAAGCACTTTTTTTAACTCATGCATTCCAGTTTCTCCCCCTTGCACCACCCTGCCCTCCCTTACACAGCAAAGTAGATTTCTATTTCAGCAGAAGTTCAACAGGCCAGAGAGGAGGTCTGTGCTGCACTTTGTCTGCCCCATGCTTTGTGGCAAGGTTCCCATTTTGTTATTCAGCTTAATACCAAGAGGTTCTATATTGACACCTTGAACACAAGACAAGACATTTAATAATGTTTATTATGGCAACAATTTCAAATGAAATCTGCAGCAAAACATCACATAATACTCAGCCTCAGGGAGCAGGTATGGCATGATATGGTGTACTTGCTCTTCAATTTGTATTGAATTGTTCCATTTGTATTTGTATTGCAGCATGCCTACTTTTGGGGACTCTTTTCATTCAGAAAGCCCCTAAAAAGAGGAATGCAGGTGGAACTTGCCAAATCTTTCAATACAGTGCTTAATGAACAAGACAAGAAAAATTACAATATAGGTCAGACACTAATGTGCCTCTGTGATTTCTCTTTCTGTATCACATATTTTAACAGAAGCCACAATTCTACGTAATCAGTCCTGTCTGTAGTTTTGTTTCAAAAACTAACTCCAAGATGTTACCTTTTCTCACCTTGTACAGGGAAGAGGTTAGTTAATTAGCAAGCTAAACAGCCCTGGGCTTCACCTTGTCCAGAAACTGTTCTTAAGTAACACAGAACTTGCTTTCTGGAAAAACCTACAGAAATAGGACACTCCTAGACAAAAGGAAATAATGTCCTCACTGCTTTGGGGCAGGGGGAGGCAATCCCATGAGACAGCTGCTGAGCACCTAAATATATTCTGCTACTCACCAGCAGTCCCTGTCCCAAATCTCAGTTCAAGGAAATACTTGGGAAGAAGGAAATGAACAGGAGGTCACACTCTTGGTGTGACCATCTGTCTGTAAGGGCAGAAAATGCCCACTGTCCTCCAAGAAATGGGCCCCTTTCAAAACCCACTCTCCAGAGAACATCACAGTGCTTCTTCACTTTGTCTGCTTTTCCAGGCTGTTGCTCTCTTGCTGCAGCACTTCCTGACTGATAAAACCCAAACTCAAGGCAAGAAAAATTATAAAAAAACAGTGAATAGCAACCAGATTTCATGTTCACAACTATAAAAGTGTCTTAAAAATATGTCTTCAGTAAAAAATATAAACAGATATTTTATTCCTTATTTCTATGAAAAACCCTGGGAATTGCAAGTTCTGTTTCCAATAAGAGATGGAAAAACACTTAAGCATCCTTTAGGAATAATGCCATCAATGGTCTAGGGGATTTATCTAATATGGTTTAACTTTTAAAATCAGTCTTAAAAAATTAAAATCAAACCTTCAACACTGAGCTTACAATGAAAAATAAATATAGGCACATCTCTGTGTCATATAGGTTCACCTCTTCCTTCCTCTGACTGTAGAGGCTTTGTTAAAAGACAGCATGAGAAGTCACACTGAGTTAAGAGACAGCCACCAAGAAATCATCTCTCTGATCACAAAGTAACTTGAGTTGATTCCTAGGTCTGGTCACAGCTGTTGCTGCACAAACACAAAAAGTGTTTCTGAGTCCAAAGAACAGCTGCTCTGAGATGCAATCAAGGTGCTTAAAAGACTTTTGACTTGGAGATCCATTTGCTGATGTGAATCCTTCAGCAGAGTCGCCATGGCAAAATGTCCATGACAGAAAGCCCAATGCAGGTTTTGGACCAAGTGGCCGCTTAGCTTCAGTATGCTCCCAGCCAAGAGCTCCCAATCCTTTCAGAAACACTGAAAATTCCATGGGCATCTTCACTAGTAATTTTTGTCCACAGAGTCCACCTCTGCTAACTTTGTGTGGCCATAGTAGCTAGAGATTGTCTGGTCAGCTCACAAGGGTTAGTCCTGTGCTCCTCCACCTGATGTTCTGATACAAATATGCGGGACAGCCTTTTCAGGTCTTTCACAAAATCCTGCAACAAACAGACACAAACCAGAGAACCCTTAGTAATGGAAACAAAAGAGACTGACTTAATTTTTCCATAAAGAAAAATTTATGTATAACAAGGTTAAACACGTTGATGGTTTTCCAGTGCAAAAACCTAGAGGAACTACAGAATTGACTGCAATGATGAATGCCTGCAGACATTCCCAGTCTCCCTTCTGATGCCCACACCCCTTCTCAGACAAGACCACTGCCACAATTTAAATGGTTAAAACTGCTCCAACCTGCAAGTGCTCAGCCTTGGAATACTGTCCATTTTTAGCAAGGCATTTGGGTTGATTCCTACATTTTGATTGTGGCCAGAACAGTGAGGTTCCTCTAGAACATTCCAGCTGCTCTCACACTCTGGTGGTAGGAGGCACAGGGATATAAGTGCAAGACTGGCCAGTTAAGACACTCCCCAACACGTTATTCTCAGCTGGAAAGCAGCAAGCACACTCAGGCTAGAACTGAGAACTGGTTAACTGAGCCAGCTGGTCTCCAAACCGGTTTACAATTCTGGAAACGCTTCCACTGCATGGGCAATGGTGGATTCACAGAAGTACAGCTTTCAGTCAAACACTAGCAACAGAGACAAGCTTGTTGGAAACCAGTCCTTCCTTGGCATTAAGCAGGAACAACAGATGGGAAGGTTATGGGCCTTAGCCATATTAAATAGAAACACAAGGATATTCTGTTTACATAGCTTTACTTTTTATTTTATTTATTGTCTGTGCATATCTAATACTTACTGAGGGCCAAGGGAGCTCTTCAAGGATATGCAGGCAATTCTGGATTTCACTAGTTCTCATTAGTTCATGTTCTATAAGACCATGAAGTAGGAAAAGGAACAAATCCCACTGCACAAGAGAAAAAAATACCAACAAGTCAAAAAGAAATGGATTGTGTGCTTATTTCTTTATCCATGTATAATTCACACTTTTCTTTTTGCATCAGAACATGGGAAAAAGCAGCAAGCACATTATCTATCTGCGTGTGACAATGAAGGCAAGAGCAATGTCCACAATGAATGAACACAATTCCTTCAGTTCTTACATTGATTTTCTTCTGCCATAAAATAAGTATATGGTATTATAAATTCTCCATCTATAAACACACCAAGAATTTAATTCCTGCCTCATCAAGAACACTGAAAAATTATTTCTTTGATTCCTGAAATAAGCTGGGTTTAGCCTGCAATTAAATAGGGTGATTTTCAGCTTTTGTTGGAGTGCTTGTCACGCCAACACACATGCAGAAATGCAAGCTGATAAAAGGCACAAGGATGCAACCAATGACAGCCACGTGTGCAGCCCTTGCAATATCCCAGGCCAAATGGGCCATTTTGCCATTGGCTCCTAACCAAAACTGTGCCTTCCTGAGAGCCCCCCAAGGCAGGCACCAACCCCTGACAAGCTGTACACATCCCCCTCTTTCACTGCCCCACAGAAACAAGGCCAACCCGCTGGCCTCAGTCACACAAGCCCCAGTGAGCACTGTGGGCTGGCAGAACTCCTACACAAATCCCAGCCTGCCCCACACATCGGAACGAGCTTTACCTCTCGCTGCTTGGCTTCTGCAAGATAACCCATGTTGTTCTTGCTGAAGATCAGCTGCACGGGCACAGATGTCCCAAAGTCCTCCTTCCAGATGGAGAACAGCAGCTTTAGGAGGCCATAGGTGGGATTGTTCTTTACAGGCAGCCTCTCAGGGCTCTTCTCTGGGGATTTGATCCCAAGACTCAGAGGAACACGATCTGAAACTAAAAGGAGGAGGATAAAAGAACTCCTACAGCTGCATTATTTCCTTTTCTAGTCATCATCTTGGTTCAGCAGCACAATTAGGGAGAAGAAACCAGTGAACCTAAGAGGAATGGAGTTTGGAAATATTAGCTCAATATTTCAAAATTATGACCTTTGAAACTATACAGACAGTATGACATAGGAAGAGATTTCTATTCCTCAGACAAAGAACACCAATTGGTTGGAATATAGCCCAAGTCCTGAAAGTCAGCCTAATATTTAGTCAAAGAGAACCTAGGTGTTACTGCAAAGGAGAGAAGAGTAGCACAGTTAAACATTTAAGTCTATAGACAGACTGAACAGCTGTCCATA